TACTGGAAAGGAGAGATTCGACGCAGCTTGCAATAATGGGCTTATCCCAGTCCTTCTGCTTGTTCGTTTCTGGAATTGGGTGGTCGGCCATGAATCGAGATTTCCATTCAATGATGGCACTATCAAAGGAAGGGTCAGAATTTATGGAATTAGGATTGACTAAATTTTTGGTTAAAAGACAGCTCGATATAAAGGCAGTTAAGGCAAGATCGGAAGGGGATCTGATGCCTAGTCCTCCCAACTTGGTAGGAAGGGTGGCTTGTGTCCACGCTAATTCATGGAATTTTAGATTAAGGATACTTTCAATTAGGACTTTAATCCCATTTTCATAAATGCCTAAGGAAGTGGGAAATTTAAAAATAGGGGTAAAGCGGAGCGCGTAAAGAATTTTTGGGATATTGAAGAAATTTTTCAAGAGAAAAAAGGCTTTATAATTATATAATAATTTACATATTAATAATCTTGACAATGTATTCATAATAATGCATTTAAAAGCGTCATTGAATGCAAATCAGTTCGATCCGCCATGGGTAATTCCATAAGGGTAATTGCTACAAAATCTATTTATGACAGTGTGAAATATTTTCGATTTCTGATATGAAAAAATTTTACGTCTAAAGAATTACAAGTAAATAAAAAAGGTTAATTAATTCATACATATGCCTCAATTGATAATGATTTTTAAAAACCACTTAATATAATATAATTCTTAAAACTTACATTGGCAAAAGGTCATGAAACTAATATAACTCTCTGTTATCATTTTAGACAATGTTTTATAGAATAAATTAATAAGGAAAAATTTATAGGCCCAACCAAAGCAACATTTCTTGAAGAAATTATAAACGACCAATCCAAATCATAAAACTATATTGTGGTTACAGCTTGCTCTTAGATGACATGATGGAAGTTAGATAACTATTGGAGAAAATAAATTTATATAAGATTATCCTCCATCCATATATAAACGACTACACATTTGACCATTATTGATCATCTAAAATATGCAATCACATGCTCTCAGCAGCTGTAGATCATCTTAACTTACATAGCCAAACAAATAGTAGATGTTGGTTAATTTGCAGTCATATGACACTCACGATGGTAACTCATATCAGAATTTATTATTCTAGATAAATTGATAATAAAAACACTATCTTTGAATAAATTATACAAATATATTGAAGCCTTATGTTATTTACACGGCAAGGATGCCATATTAGAGAATTTTATAACTATAAAATAAGAATCAGAGTGATATGATGGAAGCAATTAAGGAATATTGTCCGTTATTCCCTTAGAAAGGATGTCAGGAATTTTAGTTCCACCTCTAGTTGGTATATTAATATTAAAATAATAGTAATTTGTAATAATATCAATAATATATTCGTATTAAAAATTTAACTCAAAACTGTTTTTCAATAAAAAAAAAATAGTAGCTTTCCTAAAAACAGGTTTAAAAAAGAGAGGAAAAGATATCTAATTGATTACATCCATTGTGGGATGAATAATAAGACGTTTAATTTTAATAAAATTTTTAAATGAATAGATGGCGTTAAAAAATTTAATGTAAATTGTTACTTATGTTTATTTTCAAAAGCATTTTATAGTAAAATTTATTAAAATATTAACTGTATATAACTGTCAAAAACGTCTGTAAAAGTGTTTTACCTATTATTTTATTATCAATTATATATAATAGAATATAATAAACTATATGTCTACTTCAATATTGGTCTACTTACTTTTTATAAAGAAATCTCTTATAATTATTTGGACTTGAAAATATTTTTAGAATTATAATTAAATTTAAAATGAATAATATAGTTGATTAGTGATTTTGAACTCGGCTAATTACAATATTAAATATGTTAATTTTCAATTAATAAATGTATATTTTTAATTAGGGTTATATAATAATTTAAATAATAAAAGTCAATTTCAACTATTAATGCTAAATTAATAAGTTGTTTGTTATATTGATATTTTATTTTCACAGAATTTGATTGCAAGATGATGTAGTAAAAATATAATTTATATGTATTAATCAAATCTAATAATTAAAATAGTAATCATTTAATGTAAAATTTAAATAGTCTTATTAATTTCCAAATAATAAAATTTAATCTATATATTACCTAATAGAATTATAATAGAAATGGTTGACATCGCAAATCAAAAAAATTTGTTTTTAGTTCAAGGGGATATTAAGGAGCCATTAAAAACAAAATTTTGCTTCAGGGGGCTATTCAAATTTTTCAGGGGGCTCGATCCCCTGCGCTCCTTTCATAGTGACGCCACTGATTATTCTCACTTTAAAACGGTATCGCATTATGAATGCAGCCTGTTAGTGTTGTTAAAAAGCCTAATTTGGGTCGATTTTAAAAAACGGCCCAATTAACCTCAAGATTTAACAAGTAAAAGCCCAAACATTTCTTCCATCTATGAACAAAATCACCAGGTTTACACAATATTATTTTTGTTATAATCTTTAAAGGGTCGTTTTTAAAAGTAGACCCGAATCGGGATTTTTAACCATACTACAGCCTGTTATAATTTGGTATTTTGTCGGTTAACTATTCGAATGCTCAAATATCTTAAACTCACCAAATTACATTGTTAAAAGTGTTTTTTAAATTTCACACTAAAGTATATTGGATCAGTATATATAATAACATAAATAAAACGTGACTCTTCTAAATCAAAATCTTTCATTAACACTATATATTAATTTATTGATATTTTGTCAGCTCTTAAATGTTTTTAGTTTCACATCTATATTAGTTAATTTTTGATATTTTATCAGCAGTGGTCTTTTGAGATTTTAGGAGTTTTTAAACTAAATCAATGATGTTTTGATTTAGATCTTATGAGTATTTATACTAACTAAATGATGTTTTGACTTCTCAACATTGTGGTCTTTAGAGATTTTAGGAGTTTTTAAACTAAATCAATGATGTTTATATTTAGATCTTATGAGTTTTTATACTAACTAAAGGATGTTTTGACTTCTAAACATTATATAAACATATATAAATTACATTATATAATTATTAGTCTAATTTAGATAATGTTTTGCTTATTAACAATATTAGTTAAATTTGTTATTTTTTTATCAGCTCTCAAATGCTTTTTTAGCTTCACTTTTGTTAAATTTAGTCAATTTCAGTGATTTTATGAGTTGCTAAACTAAAACAATAATGTTTAACATTATATTATTTAAAATATATGAGTTTCTAAACTAAATTAATGATGTTCAACATTATATTATTTAACATTATATATATTACATTGTATAATTATTAGACTCCTCAAGATTATATATTACATTATATAATTTTTAGTTCAATTTAGACAAGTTTTTGACCTATATAAATTACATCATATAATTATTTGTAGGGCTGCGCCGGTATTAAATATCGGATCGGATCGGTACCGATATTTAGCGATTACTGAAATTATCGGATAGGACCGATACCTGTAAAAAACCGATCCGATCTTTTTACTTTTCTTTTTTTTTGTTATTTTATTTTATGTTATGTATATTTATTTTACATTATTATAATATTTTCTAAATAATTTTTTTAAATTTTATTTCTTCTTTAAAATAGATTTATAGTATTTTTAATGTTTTTTTTTATAAAAATAGAAAGGTACACCCAAAGTTTTTTTTATTTTAAATCTTTTTAAATAACGCCAATTTTTTTATTTATACTTTAAATAAAAGAATTTTTTTATATATGGTATCTGAATTATGGAAATATTTTACAAAAGGCAAAGATAATTTTGCAAAATGCGTCTGCCTTCAGTACGGCAGGAGATATAGATAGTCCATATCATAGAAGCTTATTCCCAGAAAATCTAGAGGCTCACATATTTATTTTAAAAATCTAAAAATTTTATATATTAAATATTACAATCTTATAATTCCAACATAAAATGGATATATTATTAAATATATATTTTTTTATTATAATCTTAATTGTAGAAATAAAAAAATTAAATTAAATTTATTATCATTAGTTTCACATACTTCTCGAAACTAAACACTAATCATATCTTCGAAATAAAATTTGCCCATATTACTAATATAAGATTTTTTATCATCAATTAAATTAATATAGACTCAAAGTTCTAATAAGAAAGCCAGCTATTTATGAAACTTATGTAAATCAGAAATGGCTAAATTGCAATATTTTGGTTACCATGTTTTTAATTTCATTATAAATTTCCTTGTTAAAATTTGTAGGGGTCATTTTAGCTTATTTACCCCTCTAAATTTTATTTTAAAATAGTATTACTAGTATATCCAACCAGCATAAAACTTACTATATAGTTTCTAAATTTTTTTAAAATAAAACAAAAATATTTTTCCTAATTTTATGATCCAGATTGATATTATTTGAAAATATGTTATTTTTGAAAAATAACAAGCAATACTTATTTTTTTTATATATAATATATTAAAATTAATAAGGGTTTTTTATGAAATCCTTTTGAAGATATACTTTTAATCACTATTTTCCAGAGGTGTGTATCTAGATCCTGTATCTAGATATTGGTATCTGTATCTAGATAGATTCTTGATTAAAATATCGGTATCTAGATATTATTTTAGACGATGTATCTGTATCTAGATCCATTTAAAAAGTATCTTTTAACAACTCTGCTATTTTCCCATAGTTGATTTTTAACTAATAAATCTATTGATAACAGTCCATTATCTATGATCATTTTAGCTTGAGTTTTTACATCTTTAGATTTCATTTTATTAATTTCTTATTTTCTAATAATTCCCGTGATAGGAAATGTTGCATAAAATAATATACAAATATAAATATCCAAAAAAATAAGTTGAATATGGCAATAATATAAAAAAAAATCTATTTTTTTAAAAAATGAAATAAATAGGAAAGTTTATGTATGATTTAAATTCAGTTTAATCGACAAATATTAAATAATAAACTTTGTCGCACAAGTAGTATTCCTATTATGGGTTGGCCAATTACAAATATAATTTGATTTTTTATAAATTATTGATATTTATAAAACTTAAAGAAAAATATTAAATTCCCAAGCTATTTTGTTTCAATTTTTACGATTTCTTTTATTCGTTTTCTTCGTTCAAACTATGCCCTTATAAAAATATAGAAATATAGAAATATTTAATCATCTCTCCGTACAAGTGTAGTAGATCAAACATATATTTTAGACTACGCTATGACACAAATCTTTGTCATCTCTTTTAGAAAAGAAAAGGTAAAAGAAGGTTAAAAAGAAAGAAAGAAAGAAAGAAAGAGAAAGAAAGAAAGAAAGAAAGAAAGAAAGAAAGAAAGAAAGAAAGAAAGAAAGAAAGAAAGAAAGAAAGAAAGAGAGAGAGAGAGAATATTTAATAGTAATTAGAGTGCGATGCTAGTTGGTATGCTCCATTATAAAATATGGCTGCTTATAATAAGTGAAATTTTTTTGGGGATCATATTGATTCATCGGAATATGAATGATAGAAAAAAATAATATTATTCCTATTAAGAATAATTCTTTTAAAATTTAATAATTTATTTAATATAATACCTAAAATTTTAAAAATAAAATAACTGTCGGCTTAATACTATGAGCTTTCTTTTTTGGGGAAACACATTTTAACTAAGCCGAATTAAGAAGATTTTGACTATTACACAATTATATTTCATAAATCTACCCGTGCATAAAAACTAAGAGCGAAATAGAATTTGAAGGGATTATCTTCCTGCAATAAAATAATGGGGATTAATGTAAAATATGAATATAAATTTATGTTTGTGCGTGCTAGAAGAAAATGATGAGGCTAAGTAAAATCCTATATTAAGGATTTACCCGAGGTCCCAAGGAATCGTAGTCATTCCTCGGGTCTTAATCCGTCTGCGTGGTGATAGGTTGATTGTCCCCAGAAGGTAAGTTATGTATATGATAGAGAATCAACAAAGGCAAGGCTCGTAATTATTATTTGAAAAGGAAAAATTCCAAATATGCATCGGAGGAACTATTAGGCGGGATTTTCTGCCGTAAATTTTATTGGTAATATTTAAGTCCGCTTGTCGTCCGTGATCTCGATAATGGCTGCCATAACCGGCTGGGATATAATGGGGAAGTGATTATTTGCTAATCTTACGAATCGCTTTTTAAAATATCTTTTCCGGGGTCTGGCATCGTTAAAATTCGAATCGTCGTTTATTTTTTAAAGAAAAATCCCTATATTTTTATTTATTTTTTAGTGCTCTAAGGCTTGGCCAAGTTTTTATTCTAAAAAGAATATGGTTCTAACATTAAGTTGAGGCTAAATTTAGACGTTTAAGTCAGTTTTTAAAGGGATATACTTGACCACTATTGGAGTCGGTTAAAGTTAGGCGATTTAACATCACAAAAAAAACTGAAATTTTTTTAAAAATAAATTGAACATTTTTTTTTAGAATAATAGTTAAAAATATATACGTTTAGCGGCAATATTTTTTTTTCCCCGCGATGTGCTATTTTTTTTAACGTTTAAATCATTTCCTTTAGCGAGTTTTTTTTTAAATTTAAAAATTTGAATTTTACCGGAAATGTAATCCACCATGTTTAGAATAACCTATCTTATTCATTGTAGAAAAAAATTTTGCCGTTAATCTTTGAGTCATTTACAATTAATAAAAAAAAATTAATATAAATTATATTTGGGTCCATAAGTTTCATTATTAAAATTGTCTGAAAATCATTAGGAAAGATATTCAAGTGGAATACAGTTCCGGTAGGAAAACGCTATCAAAGTATTTAAAGTTGAAAAAATAACACGTTCACGCTAAAAAAACATACAATATAATTTGCTGCTAAGGTTAGAAAAAGTGCTTCGAATGTTAATGCTCTTAAATATCTATTTATATTTACACATAAATGATAAACCATCTTGTATAGTAGAAATCTGCAAAAGTAGGCCCAGACCGTACCGGCCTGAGTCCGGCCCGGCCTATTTTAGAAAAACCGGGTTCGGGCCGGGTCGAGCTTAATATTATTTTTAAAAATTCTTCCTGGGCCCATCGGGCATCGGAAATTTTTTTTAAATATATCTAAATTTATCAATTTTATATTGAATTTTTTTATTTAAAATAAAAATATTTGATGCCATATAACATATGACTTATATTTTGAGTAATTTATAAAAATTAATTTCTATATTTAAATAAATTCGGGCCGGGTCGGGCCGGTAAATTATTTTAAAAAAATTTCGGGTTCTAGCCGGGTTTGAAAAATTGGCCCGATGCAGATTACTAACTTGTAACGCAGATTTGATTTGTTTATAAATGAATTATAAGCAAATGTACACTCCTTAGATGGAAAAAATTTATAATTTAAATTATATTTTACAAATGTATTTATATATAAAAAAAAATATAGATTCCTTTTGGCATATATTGGCGCCTGATTACAGAGAAATAGTGTTCTCAAGAATGCAAATATGCTAGATTATAATCAATATTGTTAGATTTTATGTGTCATCCACTAGTAATAGAAGGTAATATTTGCCAAAATCAGAACATATAAATACGGAGGAAAAGTTTTAAAAAAAACCTAATAAAAAATACAAGCATAAACTCTATATTTAGCCTAAAAATTAATTAAAATATTGAATTTATAAATATAATTACAATTACAATATCAGATCATTAGACGTTTCCTATAATGGTTATAAAATATTATGCTAGGTTGATGATGTCAAATTATCTATAAGGAACTTTAAAGGGATATATTGAACAACAAAACCTTAATAATTTTTTCAAAAAATAAAATATTATTATAAACTATTTAGTAAAGTTACCGGTTATTTAATTTCGAATAAAAGGATATGTCATTGTAATTATACTCCAAAAAAAAATTATCACAAATTACATATAATATTAAATAATTAAATGTAAAAATATTTACTCTTTCGGGAGACATCCTCTAATACCATGACAGTATTCGTTACTTCCACAGTTACATTCTAAATTTTAAAAAAAATATATATATGTATTGGCGGATGGGGAATAATCTTTTTTTTTTGACTTAGAATCATGATCTGCAAATTTATAATTCTTTTTTTCAATACTCCTGGGCTGGATCTTAAGGATTCAAAGAAGGTTTCTAAAATCTAAGTGGCATCCTGGATCAAATATCAGGAATGTTTAATTTTTAAAAAAAATAAAATATTTTTATTTTTATTATCTATACTATTTTCGCATCGAGTTCCGTAATAGTTTCTTAAGCACCAACAATTCCCATTATACTTGCATGTATTATTCCAAAAAAATTTTTGGCAATCAGTCCGACATTCTTTTTTGGCGCGAGTCAATCACACATATTTTTTCCGGAAGTGCACCAAAAAAAAATGAAAGAAAAAGGGAATAATATTATTTTTTCGAATATCGTTTTAAAAAAAAGCTTTAATCTTGGGCTCCAAAATTAGTCGATGACATATGATAATACCTAAACTGACGATATTTGAAAGCGTCGTGGCGAATCAGCTGGACCCGCCATTTTGGTAACCGGTAATATAGTAATTATTCTCGTGTTAAAAACTAACTATTAAATTGATAACCTTGCTTCCTTTACCATCCTCGAATTGCGTCTCAGAACATAGGAAATAAAATTGGCTTCTCGTTCAAAAATTAAGTATTTTTAAATAATGATATAGAGGTATAAACAAAATGGCGTCCCCAGCTGTTTAACAGTGAGATGTGTCAGTCTAGGTATCATTATGTGTCATCAAAATTGGTGTTTGTTAAACGCGACCCGATTTCGGCAATTTTTGAAATTAATATTTTTGCCGCCAAAAAAAATTAATAAAACACGAAAGCCCCCGAGATTTCGTTGATAGATGTTGTACACAAACCTTTCTCTCCCAAATCTTTGATGCGAAATCCCCAAGGTTCGCGCGTATATATCTTTTTTGGCGCTAAAACATTGGGTTATAGCGGTTTAACAACAAACATGCCCTAATTTTATGGAATTTTTTTATTTCCACGATTAAATGAATATCGAGTTTCAAATTTTTCACAAAAACACTCCCTAAAAATATGTATATATATACCGAATTCACAATTATCGCCGTAATAGCCCAATTCGCAGAAACAACCACCTAAGGGTGTGTTCAATATTGTATTATTTCTGTTACAGGTGGATTCTTTAAAGAGAGAAAATATACGTGTAAAATGTGTCGAATTTGTTTAAAAGTTTTATAAAAATAAAATATATTTATAAGATTATTATGATTTTTGAATTTTGATTTTTGAAAGAAAAGACCTTTGTCACATGTAGTCCCATATTTCCAATCCCTACAACGGCATTGACCATCCGCACGGCAAAATTTATTGTCGGGACATAAGCTACCATCTAATGATAAAAAAAAAAAATTTATATACAAACAACCAAAATTATAATAGAAGTTTGTCAATCCTAAATGAGGATGATAAGCGTCCCGATGCCATGTCTATGACATCTTGGCACTGCGGCAATAAGACTTGTCTGGGATGTCTCATGCGTTACCTCATTTCCGGCTAACAGAAACACTGACCCCCCTTGGAACTCCAAGAAATCAATAAATGCAATAGATGTTGGTCTCTTCTTAATTCCTTTATTTTTTATTCCTCTAAATTTTATACAAACAAAATCACAATTTATAATAGAATTATCGTCCAATTTGGAATATAAATCAGCAGAATTAACTCATATTAATATTTTTTTACAGAATATACGAGTTTCAGGATAAAATGGGGTTAGAGTCCGTGCTGAACTTGAAATTTGTTTTAAAAATTGATTTAGATGCCATTGTTAAAATCGTTATTTTCGCACTGCTCTATTCCCCAAGATTTCTAGTAAACGGTGACAGTTTAATAATCAATAAACGATTAATTTTACGATTAATTTTGATAAAGAATAAATAACGGGTACCTGGTGAGGTGCTGCCATTCAAACGACCCGGCACGGCTCGACCCGGCACGGCTCGGCCGGGTTTCCTGCCCAACTCAGATTATTTTCATGGACAATAATGGCGAAATATTCGATTTTCAAATATTCGACCCGGCTCGGGTATTTTTTTTATATAAAAATTTTTTTTTACAACAGTTAGCGGGGCAGGTTCGAGCCCACAAGTTCTCTGATAAATATACACATATAAATATATAAACTTATCAACTATCTAAAAGAATTTATTTAATTTACTAAAAAAAAAAAAAATTGATAGAGAGCTGCAGATAGAACAGTTATCCACTCATATTTTATTCTTCCAAAGGGTCGGGAAAGGGGAGGAGGAGATGACGGGAGCCGATTAAGACAACAAAAAACGAAATTTTTTTTAGCGTTTTTAAACGCTTTGTTTTCTTAAAATTGGAAGTTAACTCAATATCTTTCTAAAAAAAAAAAATGGTTCTGAAAAGAAAAGGAAATGAATAAAAATAAACGCTTAAATATACTTCGCGTCACGTTTTCCGGGGTAACTTTGCATAAGCATCTACCCAAACTATCGCATCCGGATGAGACCAGCGGATCGCACGGGCAGTCTTATGACATATGATGGAAGAGAAAAAAAAAATTATTTTGTGCTTTATTGGGATCTTAAATCCCAAAAATGATTGAATCTCGATTTCCTAGCACCGATTAATTTTTTTGTGGAGGAGAAAAAATCTATACATAATTCCCTAATGATTAAGAATGTATCGGTAGGATAAGAGGATAAAATTTGTTGAAATTATCAATTTCCTATTTGTCGAACAATTACGGTTTTGTTAAAAACCGCCCAATGTTGAGTTCGATTTTAACGGTCCGTTTAACACTTTTTTAGTCGATATCGATATTTATAAAGCGAGCTTCTTAGAGATTTGGCGAATAGAGGGTCCCTAGAGGGTCCAAACCTTTTCTTTCCCATCTTATGAGCAATCTTCGGGATTACGTTCACCTTTATATTCTGGCTAAAGAACATCAACCCTTTTTTTTAAGAATCGATTAATATTTCAGTTATAATATTTCCGTATGATTTTTTTTCCTCCTTAAAATTTAAAAAAAAAAAAAATTACATAATTTCATTCGAGTTTTTTTTTAGATCAAAGTGGAATGGATATTCTGACTGAGGTCCAGAAAAAGAGCTTAAATTACATTCCTAATATATATTATTGAATTCCTCCAATTACTTCTTTTTTTTATTAAAGCATTGATTCTAGCATTGTTAACCGACTCGATTAGGGCTGGCTCTTTATTTTATGCAGAATAATATTACAGAAGTCTGAAGATTTTGCTCATGGGTGGCACAAAGGTTCTAATCAATTAGCGAAATATCGAGGTTCTAGACAATATTTTTTTTCTGGCAGAAATATTGAGTTATAGTCGTTTTTTTTAAAAAAATCGCGGATCAGAACGATTCCGTTTAACAAACACTGATTTATTCTTTGAGAGAGTGAAGCTAGCGTTTCATCGACATGTAACAATTCCTAGACTTGTGCGTTCGATAAAAGTGTACATCAATGAAAAAAATTAGCTGGGGGACGCCATTTTGATTACCCCCTTACCACTTGACGCAAACTTATTCAAAGAATTTGCCCGATAATTCGAGATGGATGATAAGGAAGCAAAGTTATCGAATTTAAATAGTTAGTTTTAAAACATGCGAATAGTTACTTATATATACGGGTTACCAAAAATGGCGGGTCCAGCTGATCTGCATTCAACGAACGCTTTCAAATACATTATTATGAATGGCATCGTCACGTCTAGGTATTGTCATACGTCATTGGCAAATTTACTAGCGAGCTATTTTATATCGCCATTTTTTGTTGAAGAGCCATTTTATTAAATTTTTTTTAAATTTTATTCTCCATTTTCTGTATTCCCCACTACCCCCATTTTTTTTAAAATATATTGTGATTCTTTTTTTAAAAAACATTTATTTCTTTTATTTTTGGTAACCTTTGTATTTATTTATTTTTCACCATTCTTTTTAGATATATCTTATCTGTATTTTTTTTTCCTCTCATTTCTATTTCCACTTGTTTTGCGTTTCCCATATTTAGTATCTAATTAAATAATTTCATGCTAACGGATTTGGCTCTGTTAGCGATTTTTTTTTGGAGTGCAGGAACCTAGTAGCTCTAACAGGATTAACAATCTTATAAAGAATTCCAGAATAATTTAAATTTGAATATATATATAAATGTTTATTAACAACTTGAGTGAACAACAAATATATTAATCTTCTTTTCTATTAAGAACTTTTAGGAGACTTGTAGATAAATATTCCAAGCCAGAGATCACATGATTTAAATAGTAATCATTTGTTATTCCCATATAAGAGGTAATAATTTATATTCTTCGTGCAATGAGAACACCGTAGTGGGAAGTTAAAATTTATATTTATAAATCAATAAGACGCTTTCTAGGTATATAATGTAATACATCAAAATATTTTGAATTATAACCTATATCGCAATTCGCTCCATATTTAAACCTATCACAGATACAGGAACCCCTAAAAGGATTACACTTCTTTAAGGGACAACCACTCCTGCAATCTATTTTAATTATTATAATTATTATTTTTAAATATACAAATATACTTTATATATTTTTTTTTTACTTCTTTGGCATTTTAATCCCCAGTAACCTTCGTGACAATAACAGATCCCGTAGAAGGAGCGATTTCCGGTTGACCCATTCTGGTTACACTGGCAATCTTAGTTTTTAGCATAATATAATGTTCAAAATTAAGAATATTCTGAAATAACGGGATCTAATGAAACGATATTACACTTATTAAAAATGGCGGGAATATATATACTTGCAATAAATCATCTTTTTTTAAAAAAGGGCGCCTTTGGGGGGGGGGGGGAGGGGTTCTAAGGGTCTGGGGGTTAAATAATAAGTACCCCCCCCCCTCACTTATCCATAACCCAAAAGGATTACTTGTCTTATAAAACTATTTTTCCAATTTTCAAAATATGCTATAAAAATATTAACACAAATACTTGATTAATTAATGATCAACAGGCAGAGTGTATCAGAAAAAGGCATTGTAGGCTAATGTAACGAAAATATTTGAAATAGTAGCTTTTTTTTGAGTTTATCAAGATACTTATAGATAGCCCGTCAAAAAATGAAGGGGAAATGAGAATTTTCTCCTTACTTTTATATGATAGTATTTTTACCCCCCCCCCCTCTCCCTCCTCTCTTCGGGACCAGATTCAATCCATTAAAACATTAAAACTGAAGTGTAAATACTAGGGTTTGAGCTTAAAAAAAATAATATATATATTTAAAAGCTCTTGCTTGATAATATCAACATTTATTTGTTAAATATCACTGATCTCACCTATGGCTAATATTTAATATCAAAAAATAAAAAATTCCTTCCCAAACCCCAATGAAAGATGATATTTTATCTGAGCTATAAATCCAGTTTTATCCTGCACTTAATGACATATATAATAGCTAGACCGACGATTCATTCATTCATTAAAAGTTGTACATCAATGCAAATCAGCTGGAGACGCCATCTTGGTTACACTAATCATTATTAAAAAAATTTAAAACGAGAGCTTAATTTAATTCCCTATATCTGACGCGAAATTTATTAAAGAATTACCGGATCATCGAGATAATAAGGAAGCAAAGTTATCAATTTAATAGTTAGTTTTTAACATGAGAATAATTACTACACGTGTTACCAAAATGGCGGATCCAGCTGATTTGCTTGTAACGACGCTTAAAAAATGCATTTTAACGAATGAATGAATCGTCAGTCTAGGTATTATATATGTCATTGCCTGCACTAGATTTTGATCATTGTGCAGTTTAATGAAAGATTCATCGATGAATGGGTGAAATTTTTTAAATCAAAAATCGTCATTTTTTTTTACACCCAAAGGGAATGGCGGAAAAACCATTCGTTAAAGGTTGATATTGAGGGCATATCCGTTGAATTTTACGATTTAAATTCAAGTCAAAATATGTCTAAATTTCGAAATATTTTATATTATAAGTAAAATGAGGGAGAAGCAATTATTACACGTGACCTGGAGGTAAAAGAATCTAAAGATTTGTCAGATTCCTGAGAAACATAAAACGTATTTTATTAAAACATTTTATATTAATGCATCATTTAGCTTCTTCTTCTTCTGATGATGATGATTTCTTAGATTTATGATTCAGACTGGAATTCTAATATTTTAACCTTATCGTTTACTTTTAAATTTTTTTTTCTGCTATTCCTTAATTTATCAATTTTGTATAAATATTTATTAACCATTCCTTCAGCCTCATGTACTGCAGAGAGGGTGGCAAAAAAAAATTCACTGTTTTTTCAAGGGGGGGGGGGTATTGGGGCCACAACATCCGCCCCTTCTCTTATAAGTTAATAGTAGTAGATGCTTTAGGTGGGGGTATGGGGGGGGGGGTAGCTTAAATTTTGACTTTTAAGTGTTTAGCCACTCTGATCTATTTATCAAATTATATAAAAATTATTAATTTTTTAAAACCTAAAGTGCAATTAGTTCCAAATTTGCCAAACCCACATTCATTGCTTCTTGTCTCGACAACTGTAACGGCTAATAAATATATGGGTATAAAAAATTTTAAGATGGATTTAAAAAAAAAAAAGGTTAGTCGGCACAGCCAAATGATTAAAATCCCAAAAATAAAATAATCTTTATGGGGGATCAATATCGTGTTCCTGAGCTAATTGGTATGGTTGAAAATAATGTAATTTAACAAAATTCCATGATTGTCATCAATTTGGAATTTAAATATATATGACTATAACTTTATTAAAACATGCTTTCTTTCTAATTTATTTTTTTTAGAAATAATGCATGACTGGCTTTTTTCTCATTTTTTTTTAAAACATGTGCTCGAGTGGACTTCCAATTTCTAGGAATAAACCTTTAATAAATCAATAAGTAAATGATCCATCATTTTTAAAGTTATACGCAGAAAATGAAAAGGTAATTTTGAAAGGATTTATATAAAATTGAATCTTAGTTAAGAAGCTAATGAGGCGTGTGTTACACATATTCTTGTTACTTGCCGGTAAAAAGACATTTAAAACTTGAAATAAATATATATAATATATAACACATAGTGTTGTTTATTTTTAAAAACGGCAAACTCAATATTTTAGCCAGAAAGATATTTGCCTAATCCTCCAGATTTCGATAATATATCTCTAGAACTCTTTGTTCCTTCTATGAGCAAAATCTTCAGGCTTAGAGTACTATTTCTCTGGATGAAATATTGAGTCAGCTGTTCTTAGAAATCGGCTCAAACACGAGCCCTTCAACAACACTAACAACACATTGTATATATATTATATTATATATATCGTTTTGTTTACTCAAAGCCTACAAAAGGGAATTTAAAGGGAAAATTTTGTGAAGTTGTACAGTTCATGCCGGTTATACATGACATGAGCAATGAAAGCTTACTAAGCTAAATTGTAAAGAACGGAGATGGGAATATCTAGAAAAACTGGCAAGAAATTGCGAACATGGTTGAGAGTAGAAGCGATAGAAGTGATAGGTGAGAAAAAAAATAGATTGAGATGTCTTGGGCATGTGGAACAAAGGACGAAGAGTGACAGGGAATAAGAACCAGACTTCGAGGTAGACCCAAGATGAGGTGGATAATGGTGATAGTAGCGGATATGACAAAAATGGATCTTACAAATAGTGATGCACATCACTGTCAAAAAATTGAGAAAGAAAATGGGGAATACCAGGGTAAAGTCGAATCGCCCATTGAACGGAGCAAAAGATGAAAGATTTATTAGAGTTCAAAATATATTTATTTCAAATATAGGCATTGGAAATAAATTAAACTTGTATATATGTTGATATGCGGACAAAGAAAATTATTGGTAAAGTAAGTAAAATTTGTGAAAATTTTAGTATCATGTCAGAACGGGAAATATAAAATTGTATAGATATGTTTAGTAATAATTCTTCACCTCAAATTCGCCAAACCATATGAAAAAAAAAGTATCAGAAATTAAAAACTATGATATCGCGCCTCAAGCACTCTTAAGTTGATATCAGGAATTAGAGCGTATTTAGTAAATTTTAGCAATTCAGCCCGTTTGGTAGAACATAATTTAAAGAAAACCTTATCATTGACAAATGAAAATTGTGCCAAGATTGGCATCTTAGAAAGAAATAGAAAGGCGCTGAATAGCTGGCTGAGCCTGCTATATTTAGAATTCATCAATTTTGAAATTTTGCAGTTAAGGCGCAGGCGCACTAAATATGGGATTTTGGAATCTAAAATCAATAACACCCTAAATCTGGAAGCTTGGGTTCTCCGCTGCCACCGTAAAAAGGTACGCGGGGAGCTGATACGAAAAAAATTAATTTTTTTTTTTTATCGAAAATCAAAAAAAAAAAGATTTTCTAACATAAATAAACTTCCATTTATTATTATACATAATAAATTTGAAATAAAATTGAATTCTAAGTTAACAAAAATAAAAAAAAATAAAAATAACAAAGTTAGTGAAGGTGCATGGTTCGGTCATATCCGTCTCAGGCCGAGACCGGACTGGACCTACAGATCCTTTTCGAAGAGCTACGGCCCTATTTTATTAATATCTCTAAGTTTGCTTCGTTATCCAATTAATATTATATTTGTTCTTTTTTTTTTAAACCTAATTTTTTATTTTTTGCGTATTTTATATTATTTCATGTTTTTTTTTCCTAGAGGAGTTATTTTTAGCTTTCGTGAATCTTTAAGTTCATTCCTATTTTGGCAAGAAAACCAATAAGCATTTAATAGTCCCGAAACAAGAATTAAATTAGGTAAACACGAAAAGGACCATTGGCTATATCGATCGTTTCTAGAAGACCATAATCCGGATCGGTCCGGTTCGGACCGGTTCGAGTGTATCGATCCGGTCTGGACCATGAACCGGATAGTGACCTTAACTATACAAGGTTTATAATATTTGAATATTAAATGAATTGAATGATTTACGTTCGTCGACAAATGAATATATAATTATTCATTCGATTTTAAAACTAAATAATATTTTTATATTTAAAAAAATAAATTATTGTTTATATATATTATAATATATATTAAGTAAGGTTTTGTTCCACCTCTTTAAAATGATTATTGAAATTCTGTGATTTTTTTTTAAAGATTATATTTGTCTTCTTTAGTTTTAAATTTCATTATTATTTGAATCGTGTTATATTTTTAGTATAGGTCAATATGGAATGCTTAAATAGGAATAATTTTTATAATCCGCGTGGAAAACACAATATATAAAGAAGGTTATTGGTAATAAAAATTTATATAAGGTTTCAAGTTAGAAGGAAATATATAGGAATCAACACTTTTTTAGCATACGTCTTTCTATCTTTCTTTAGCATCTTTGGAAATTGGGATGCCAAAAATGAAAATTAGTATAACTGTGATATTGAAAATCAATTCTAATAGCCGATTTTTCATCCTCAAAATCTAGGTCCTAAATGTAACCGCACTGAATACTGTAGACTACATTTTGGATCTTAATGTAATGGCATCAACAATATTTAGACATGTTAGTGTTGTTAAATCACTCCATTTGAGCGAATTTTTAAAAACCGGTTAATGTGATTGTTTGGGCATCTCTTAGCAAAATCTCGAGTCATATGCAATTTCTGGCTAAAACGTGGTAGCCTTTTAAACAACACTATTCAAAATAGAATTTGGTATAACCTTATCAAAAATGTTTCCTTTTTGTATGACAAGATATTTCCAACAAAACTGGATATAGATATACAACAGTGTTGAAATGAAGCATATACCACCAGAATATGTTTGTATCTAAGTTACGAAAAAAAAATATATTGATGGATGGTGGAAAATACTTTTTATCTAACTTTAAGTGTATATTTGTATTTGTTAAATAACGGGTGCAAACGGCAATAGATCTTCTATATTTAAGGCCCAAATTTTTTAAAAAAAAGAGTAGTTTACCCCAAAATAATTTTATGTGAGCCTCTAGATGTGGTATATATAGATCAGAAACCCGCCAACCCTGCCCTAAACCCGGCCATTTTAATTTTTTAAATATATCCGGGCTGGACCAACCTCTGCAGGTCTCTGATATAGATCCTAAATTTTCTGCAATTTATCAGCAAAATCTCTGGGTATGCTGCTAAAAATCTTAAAATCGGACCGTTTTTTAAAAAAAATTGACCCTTTTATTTCGGTTCCTAGAAAATTTTATAAATTTAAACAAAATCAGTTTTTCCGGTTAATTGACTCAACCCGGTTCGAACGGTTGCGGACCCGGTTTTTCAAAAACTATGAACAACGTATATAATTGATAATATATATATATATATAATCTTACCGATTAGGAATGTACATAATAATAAGCATATAAAGATATTCTCCAACATTTTTTAATTTTAATTTTTTTTTGAAGGTAAAAGATAATTATATATAAATAAGTACCACCTTAAATTTTGTTTTTAGAAAAAAAAAATTTTTAGAAACTTTTATTTTCTGTAAATATATTTAGTTTTTTTTTTTTATTTATTTATCATTAACCAATCACAACCGAGATAATAATACAGAAAATTAGCCTAACTTCGCAGAATTTGATTAATTTTTGTTAATAATATTAATATACATATAAATATATGAACTTTTATTTATGAATTAGTTATTGTATCTCATTTTAAAGTACAATATATTTATGGTTAGGGTGACTCCCTCTCCAACAACAACAACAATTTAGTAGGAAACGTCATCTGAATTAAGGATTTATTTAAGCATCATGTGATTTATTGTGCAAGATGTTTTTACTCAAACCCTACTTGGCCTCAGAGATTTATTTATGAATTCTAAGAATTTTTTTTATTTTATACAATATTTTTGTAATGGGTGAATATTTTTTATTAAATAGTACTTGGAAACCAATTTCTAAATTTAAATATATTTTATTTAAGCATTTAAAGGTCACGTGATATAAAGCAAAGCATCTTTGCGAGAGGTTTTCCCAATAAATCTTCTCATTACTATTTGGCCCCCCCCCCAGTAATGTCTTTACACTTCCTTCCTTGAGGTTATTACATCGTACACTTCGATGATTTTGATCAGGGCGGTGTAAAACCCTAACCCCTAACCCTGATATTTTTTACTGAGTCATAACCCCGAGCCGGGAATTTTTAGAAAAAAAATTTAGTTTCAAGAATTTTTTTTAACCGAACCTTACCCGCGCGTTCCTATTCTTTTAGGGAGCTCGTCTAATAGCCTTAAAAAAAATGAATGAAAGGATTTTTAATCCCGGTAAGGATCTTTCTATCGAAGAACATGTTTCAAAAATCATTGCTTCACGTTGTCGAGGAATTTCTTTCCTCATTTCTGTCGACACTCCCAATTAGGGTTCGGCGTTCTTGGAAGACGCAGAATCATCCGCTCATCGCGTTCGTATAACCAACGCGAATAACATTCTCGATGACGTAGTTTTAAAACTTTTAATACTATAAAAATTTGTTCCTTTGTTCCGTAACAAATATCCAACATCCACACATTTATCGCAGCTATTCAACCCCCAACATTTCTAAAATACAACGATAATACAATCAAATATAAAGAAGGAATTCAACAGGGAGACCCCCTATGCTTCTGCCATCTTTTTTTGCATTTGTAATCCACAAAAATTATTCAGGAAATTATTTTTTTACTCCAAATCTCGCCTTAAATTCCTGGAACTCCCGAAGATGAAATCGTTTGCTGATCTATCTTTCCACAATCCTACTTACCCCCCCCCTCTTCCCCAGACGTCAAATTATACACAATTTAGGAGAGATGCCAAATTATGTTAACTTATGTTTTAAAGAGTGAATTACAAATACTTTTTTTTAGTATACAATTTATTTAAATTTTACTACGATACAAATTGAATACTATTTCACCAATCCCATAAGTAACTCTATTCCTTATTTTGAGGATTGTTTTTTAAAGCTTAGTTAAATTGAAACCTTTTTTAAGGAATCGCCAAAAGTCTTGAATCGGCTAAAAAAAAAAAAATTTTTTACACTAGTCCCTAATGGGAACAAAAAAATGGCGAGCTTGTAATATTGCCTCCGACCACTATACTAAAAAGATTATGGAGCGCTTCTTCCAAATCGCTACTTTCACCTTCAAGAGAGATAATCGTAATATTTTTATATCGGTTGTGTGACAAATGATATTTTTTTTAAAAAAAATATCATTTATCCTTTTAATCAAAATATAAATAAAAAATGTTACCTTATCAAATAGGTGCTATAAATTAGATTTATGCCAATTTGATATAAGCTTAATTTTTGTAAATTCTTTTTCTTTCTTTCTTTCTTTCTTTCTTTCTTTCTCTCTTTCTTTCTTTCTTTCTTTCTTTCTTTCTTTCTTTCTTTCTATATATTTATTTATAGATTTTCTTGATTTATCATATTATTTTCCAATATATTTTATTTTTAACACCTGAGGAATTGGATAAAGGAAAAGTTAATAATTATATGCCAAAATACGACTTATAAATATACAATATAAAGAAATTTATAATTCCGTGTTGAGAATTGTGGAATATTAAGTTGAATCATCACAAATTTGAATTCTCTTATTATAATAAATTAAAATTTCGAAAAATCGGTAAAAACATATAAAATTGCCCAAGGTTCACTTAAATAAAATTCAACCAATCAAAAAAAAAGACAATGCCAAAAAAAATTAAAATAATCCAATCATAATTTCCACAAATTAACTAACCGACACCTAAATTACAAATAAAAAAATAGTTTTCAACAATTTGGATATACACACCTTTTTGTGACACAAATAATGTCGAAAGATAAAATTAATTGTCATTTTATTTTTTAATTAATATTTTTTTTGGAAGAAAATGACAAATTTTTTATAATAGTTAACCTTGCTTTTTCTTACCTTTTTATATTTTGTTTGAAGTGACAAACTAAAAACTTTAAAAAATAACGAATAATTTTTTATATTTTTTTTAAATAAATTATTCCTTATTCATGCCATTATTTATTCATTTAATTTTTTTAAAAAAATTATTTTTTTTTAGCTTTTTAATTTAAATAATTAAATTTTCAAATTTTTATTATATTAAAAATATATAAAAATTAAATATTTTTTTATAATTTTAATTTTTTTTTCCGAAATTCCATTAATAAAAAATATGAATCCGATAAGATTTCAGCTGATAGTATGTTTGTTGTGCTCTTACAATGTCGTCAAAAATGTCGGGTAAAAAAATAAATATAAAATATAAAAAAATATATTATTGCCATATGACCCAAATGACATATAATAATAGCTAGACCTTGACGATGTCATTCATTTATGATGGACTTGAAAGCGTCGTTGAATGCGAATCAGCTGGACCCGCCATTTTGCTACCCCCCCCCCCCCGTATAGTTTATTATACTCATGTTGATAACTTTTGCCTTCTCCTTATTATCTCGATGAACAGGGCAATTCTTTAATAAAGTTTCCGTCAGAACATAGGAATAAATTGGCCTCTCGTTCAAATTTTTTTTAAAAATGATATGGGTAATCAAAATGGCGTCCCCAGCTGTTTTCTTTGATGTGCACACACTTTGAATGCATCGTCAGTCTAGGTATTAATCATTTAAAATCGCATCCCAATTCTCCCGATGCCTTGTTCCCAGCGATGCGTTAAAATCGGGTTAATATACGCATGCGCATCTATCGTAAAATTGTGGTCACTTTTATATAGGGTTATTTTTTTTTTATACTTTATCGGAGTACATTCCTGGCAAAAAAATCAAGGAACTGTTTTAAAGGTTTTTTTGGGAAAAAATAGTGAAATAAAATTCATTTAAAGAACACACGCTTTTTACATGTAAAGATCTGATACTTTTAGCTTAGTGTTGTTGAACTACCTACCTTTAGCCAATTATAAAACAGCGTGGCCATGTTTTTATTTAAAAAAATATTCTAATCAATCTTCAAGTTTGAGAAGACTCAACTCAGAGGTCTCGATTCAATTTTTTAGGCTAAAATCTTGAACTAAGCCCCAACAGAGGTTGTCATAGTTAGGGTTTCACAGCACTACTTTTGCCTACTACAACGCGTAAAAATAGCCCTTCATAGTAACTTTATCCTTTTAGAATTTTCTTACAATTTAGTCATGAACTTTTGAATTATTTAATTATTTTTTTTTTAAAAAAAAAAAATTTATACATATCGGCCTCATTACGTTATTTAAAAAAAAATACATTTCTTGCTTTCTTTCTTTCTTTCTTTTCTTTTCTTTTCTTTTCTTTTCTCTTCCTTCCTTTCCTTTCCTTGTGCGCTAGATGTTCCTGTTTGTTTAAGAGACATTTTTAAAAAAAAAGCTAAATTAATTAGAATATAATTCATTTATTAATATTCGCTAATCGCTCATATTCAAAAGGTTTTCTCGACAAATTATTTGATTATACAAATTAAAGAAAAAAACTACTATCCAGAACCCGACCTGAACGACAAACCGGTAATTAGAATAACCATGACCGAACTGTTATCCTAAGTTTAAACATAAAAGGGTTAGGGTGCATCCCCTAGCAAAAATGAAAGTTAAAAAAATTATATTGAAATCATGAATTTTTACAAAAAGGAAATCTTTTTAAAATTTATCAAATTTAATAAAATATATGTTTTTATATTAAAAATTAAAAATTAAATTTAAATTAAAAAATAAACATAAACATAAACATAAACATAAACATAAACATAAACATAAACATAAACATAAACATAAATATCAATTTATGTATTTTTTATTCTTTCTAATAAAGACAACCGAACCCGACCCGAACGACAAACCGGTAATTCGAATAACCATAACCGAACTGTTATCGTAAGCTTAAACATAAAGGGGTTAGGGTGTGCCTCCTGGGTAAAATGTATTATTTTATAAAAATGAAAGTTAAAAATAATTATTTTGAAATCATGAATTTTTACAAAAAGGAAATCTCTTTTTAAAATTTATCAAAAAAAAATTTATTAAATTATATATTTTTATATTAAAAATTAAAAATTAAATTTAAATTAAAAAATAAACATAAACATAAATATCAATTTATGTATTTTTTATTCTTTCTAATAAAGACAACCGAACCCGACCCGAACGACAAACCGGTAATTCGAATAACCATAACCGAACTGTTATCGTAAGCTTAAACATTAGGGAAACCTTTTTTTAAAAAAAAGGAATAAAATAATTAAAAGTGTGTTTACAATTGAAAATTTTAACAAAAAAAAATATAATATAAATTAAATAAAATAAAATAAAAATTCAAATATTCTTTTACAAGAAATAATGAGAAATAGAAATATCTATTCTGACTAATTTTCAAAATATGTTATATATAAAAATATACCTTATTATGCCAAAATATACTATGTTTTTTCATTTTTTTGGTTTTCGGTATTTTGCTCTAATTTTGGCGAATTTCGTGAATGGTTATATTAATCATCCAATTAGACTTTATTGTACTCGCTCACTCTTTTATTATTGATCAAACGAGAATCGTGAAAGATTTACAGAGCTTTGCGACAGTTAAAATCACCAAGAATTACGATTTTTATCCATTTGCTCATATAAGATCCTAGCCTGCCTCCGTGATCTGATGATAAAAAAAAAAATTTTCCTTGGCAGGTTGCTGGGGAATTTACTAAAACAGCTGTTTCCACTCTTAGAAGAACTAAGAGTAAAACCCCCTAAACCTTAAAGGTTTGGAAGATATATCCTATAAAACTTTAAATATTTATTCTATTTTTCTATTGTTATGCAATACGTTTAAATGTTCAGCAATTAACTTGAATAATTTAATGAAGTGTATGGTTAGGGTTAGCGCTAGAGTTAGGAGCGTATAATATCCATTTTATTCTATTAATTACAAAATAAATAATTGAATGTATAATAGTAAATATTTCCAACCTCTCCTCATAATTATTTTTGAAAACTTTTTCTCATTTCATATAATAATAATTGTTCAAATCAAGACAGGGGAAAAATATAGAAAGGGAATATTTGCGTTAAATATTTTTTTTAGGGATAAACGGGTGGGCTTATATTCCTCTTGACCTTGTCACAGTAGACCCGACCCGAATGGCTGGCCAGTCATGCCCCACGAATTTTAACCATGAAAATTATTTTAGCTTAATTTTTTTTAAAAAAATATTTACTTAAAATCAGGTTTTTTATATTATATTTTTGCCATAAAAATTTTTAACGCAAGTTGGGTAGTTATAGCGCTTTTTAAAATGTAGAATATTTTTTTTAAAAAAAAAATTTGGTTTTGATCGGGTAAAGGATTTGCGTAGGTGACCGTGTATTACAAACCTTTTGGGAATAGTTTGAAGCCGATGGCGCCAATTTTCTTTAACTCCACTAGGTTAAGAGTATTAACATCTTTGAGCAACTCGGTTTTGGGGCCAGATGAAAGATTTTGGTAATTAGAATAGATAAATATCTATTGGGAGTAGCTTGAGGCCTATGGTAATAATTTCTAATACTCCAAGGGAGGAAACAAAAAGTTTTTAGACTGGACGAAAGGTTTTGGGTTAATAGATGAGTTATTAAGAAAATCTTTGGAACAGGCTGCTTGAAATATGTACGGTTCAATTTTTTATGACTTAAACAACCACTCTCCCTTCTATCTTTACCCCGGCAAATTTGATTGATTCCAATATATTCCACCTTCCAGCTTCTGATCCAATCTATTTATACCTTTATTTTATCTCCAATTCCAAAAGGGCTCAAACTGTTAAGTACGGTTACGATCAACAACAAGCTTTGGATCCGAGATACACTCAACAACCAACCCAGATCGGGAGACAATTCATCCAATACTACAACGGAGTTCTGCGGATCAACAACAGGGAAGTCCCCAGATGTTTTTGGTGGGACAACGGAAAATTTTTCGTCAATCAAAATACCCGAAACGAGATCGTCATCAACGGAAAGCGTATTCCGGATTACTTTACCAGGTTAGGTTACCAGGGTCAGCCTCCTCCATGTTCGGAAAGCAGTCCAGGATACGGATACGAATACGGATCGGGTGCATCTAGCTCGATTATCTCGGCCACCGGAATTTGCGTTAAGATCGCGAGCGGGTTGCTGGCATGGCTGTTAGGATCGAGATTCAAACTTATGTGAACAAAAATGGGAAGAACAAAAACAAATCAAAAAAGAATCAATATAATTTAAAAAAAACCAGCATATTATTAATTAACTAGTATAATTATTTATACATTTTATTTTTTCATTTTCTCTCTCTATTTATATATATATAAGATGCTAGATGGTAGGTTTTATATTACAATCTTGTAATCTATGCACTTACACGTCCTCAAATTATTTATTAAAATTATATGTATAAACTACTAGTTATATTCATTATTTGTAGATAGATATAGTTATTTTTAAACGGCTAAACTCAATATTTTTAGGCAGAAAAAAATATTGCTTAAGACTTCGAGATTTCGATTTAACATGTCTAGATCTTTTGTTCCTTCTTCTATAAGCAAAATCTTCAGAGCTCGAGTAATATTTCTCTGGATGAAATATTGAGTCTCAAAAACGAAGCCGTCTAACAATACTAATTACTAATTGTTAGACACACACAAAAGTGGTAATAAAATATGTGTGGCAAACATTTGAAAAATTACATGAATAGAAATTAATGGTTTTTTTTATTAGATCAAAAAGAGAGACATTTAAATTAAAATGCTTTGGAAGGAGAGGAGGGGGGGGGGGGGGTTAAAGATATAAGTCAATTGACGTAATTATAGATATTACCTACTTACCTAGTGGCGTCAAAAAATCTCGATTTCGTAGAATAGATTTTAGTTTTTTAAAGAAAAATTATTATCTAAAATCTCATTATTCATTTTTTTTATTCGTTTCCCAATATATAAAACGATGAGCGGACCGACCTAAATCCCGAGTCGGGTCAAACCGGTCTGACTCGCTACTTTGAAGTCCGGTTGCATCGATCCCTTGTGTTCAAAATTTTAATTCGGGGCTGATTCGGACCATTACAACAATTTTAAATAATTTTTTCAGTTTTTCATTTCAAATACCCTTATTTTTCCAATATATAATTATAGGCGTAAAAAAAAACTAAACATTGAAAAATTGTAACTCGTCTCCAAGGGGCTCTAAAATAAGCGGGGGCTAAAAAACCCCGTCCAATAAGGATTTATGGGAAGAAACGCCACTCAAATAGTAGCGCCTTTTCTTATGATAATACTGAATGGCGCGCTTTAATTTTTACGGAAATTAGGGGTTTGACTAAACTGCAAATGCTTCGGTAAAAATTTTCATATATTATCTATTATTTGTAGTGAGATTCATTTTCCTATGATATAAATAACTTATAAAAAAATTAAATTATTAGATATATTTAATAATAAAGAAATATACATAAATAGTTGTATTTCCGGTATCGTCCCTCTAGTTCGTATTTTTTTTTAAATTAGGTTTTGTAGTTTTGCTAAAACTTAAATTTTTCCAATTGATTCCCATTGATTCCCAAAATTTCTAAGTAAGTTAATTTAAAAAATTTTTAAAAATATTATAAGTTTATTTAATATTATAGTTAATTTTATATTTTAAATATAATGTAGGTTATTTTAATATTGATTCCCAAAATTTCTAAGTAAGTTAATTTTAAAAATTTTTTAAATATATTATAAGTTTATTTAATATTTTAAATATAAAAATTTATAAGTAAGTTAATTTTAAAAATTTTTAAATATATTATAAGTTTATTTTATATTATAGTTAATTTTATATTTTAAATATAATTATATTTTATATTTTAAATATAATGTAGGTTATTTTAATATTGATTCCCAAAATTTCTAAGTAAGTTAATTTTAAAAATTTTTTAAATATATTATAAGTTTATTTAATATTTTAAATATAAAAATTTATAAGTAAGTTAATTTAAAAAATATTTTTTAAATATATTTAGTTAATTTTTGTTAAAGATAAAAAAAAAAAGTTTTTCTTTAAACCCCCTCTTTTATTATGTGTAAGATGTAAAAGTTTTTTATCCCCTTCTTTTGTTTATGTTAAAATTAATTAAAGTTTTTTTTTCATCTCCTTTGTGTACCATAAAATGAAAGATAAAAAATGTTTTTCTTTTTTTTTGGTAATTTTTGTTTTAAGTTAAACACAGTGAGATTAACACATATGGCTTTTGTGTTTTCTCTCACTTTACTGGATTTCTTACTTTAGGAGTCCTCAGTAAGGTGATCCGAAAATATGAGTTAGACCGTTGGGTCCGGGAGACCACCCTGCATTCCAAGGTATATTTTGAGTTTCGGGAAGTTTAGGGGGGTAGGTTTTATCCCCAATTATGTATGATAAAACTAACACAACTCGATTCCACAAAAAACGTTCTTTTTTTCACTTTGCGCCAATTTAATTTTAATTTATAATTTCGCCTTTTATTTTCCCTATAAAAGGGACGAATTTTTTATAGTTGAGATATAATTTATTTTTTCCTGTAAAATAATTTTGAAAATCTTTATTAATCTTTTTTATGTTTAAAAATAATTTTGGAATTTTTATTTATAAAAATATCATGACCCGATCCCAAAGTACTTCAATTTTATATTTTATAATTATAGTTAATTTTATATGTTTCAAAATTATACAAATATTATAATCGCTTCAAATATATTTGTGGCCATTTTAGGTCATTTGACGTTTTTTCATAAATGTTCATACGAAGAGGTGGACCCTAACCGTATTTCCTTTTGTCTCATAATAAATCGTTTAAATCCTTTAATAAAATTATATTAAAAATATTTATAATTTAAATTTCAATAATATTAAATCCACAAGATGGCGTATTATTATTTTATAAAAAAAATTTAAAAATATTTTTTGTTATATTATATTCTAAAATCATATTGTATTATTACTTAAAACGTAAGCTAAATTCCATATATTATCTATCAAAAATTGATTCGAAAAATTGCAAGAACGCATATAGCTTTTTATAAATTACATATGATCACATTTTAATGGTTAATGTAAGATAAATTAATTTTTTTTAAATAATTTTTGCATACTTTCTATTGGTATGTTCCCTAAATAGCCAATTTGTTTTTATTGCCATTATTACAATAAATAAATAAGATATCACAGAAAAATGTTATCGAACATATAATGTTTGTAGATTATTTACACCTAGCATAAAAATGTATAAAGATTTACCATTTTTAGGGGAAAAATATAATTTAGATAAGGGATTTCGGATATTTTAAATGACGTTATATTTTATTTGTAAACTGATATATTGATTTTAATGAATGTAGATGGGGGAGGGGGAGGTGTATTTGTTCGAATTTTCAGTTACTTTTCTAAAGACTTTGATTTGCTATTTTGAGATATAATAACTTGGGGTTTTAACGTAGGCTAATATATAATGAGAATTGTTGGTGGGTTAAGAGTCCATGTATTTCTTTTTCTATAAATTTTGTTTTGTGAAGTTAATCATTAAAGTAATATAATTTGATTGTTTAAATGACCATGAAAAGGGTCTTTAAGTGTTGCTGAGTTCAATAATACAAATAAATTGAACTGGAGGTTATAAATTATATTATGAGAATGTTGAAATACATTATAAATGCTTAATTATTATCCTTCCATTAATTAAATTTTTTTATAAATATAATACTGTAATATCTTCATCAGCTTCAATTGAAAGGTTTTAGTCTTGGTAAAATGCTATGTATGCCAAAATGGCAAAGGTTGAATACTAAATTATTTTAAAATTTTGATTATCTTATAAAATAATAGATCTATTTTAAATACTCTTTTACAAATTAATATTATACTCCCATTAATACTAGTCTCCCTTCCCTATCTATGCTAAGAATGGGCTATTACTAATATTAAAATGCCTGATATATTAACTCATCATTAAATATTTTATTAATCATTGTAAATATTCATTCTTACTAAATGAATATGTTATGTTCTTCACAAATAAATAATAAAAACTAAATTTTATAAACTATTCTAATTTAATTGGTAAAAATTAGATGCAAGTTTTTTTTGATATTTTGAAAAAAAATACTAGTATCTGCATAGATAAATTTTTTCACATCTGTATCTAGATTCTTAAGGACCTACCCATGTAATATAAATATTATCTTACGTGATTATCCATTTCTGATTGAATATATTAAGTGTGACGACTAGAAAAAAATCTATTGTGATTGTAATCTTTTAATCTAATAAAATGAGGTAAAAAAAGGTAAAAGAATGAATGCCATCATGTGAAACATTTATATAAATATGATTCTAATTATATAAATATAAATTAATAATTTACTATAATACTTAGATAAATCAAGATATATAATATTTAAATTATTTTATTTAGTATTATTGAATATCATTTGCCCCAAAATAATATTTTATATCGTAATATTAACAATATACTTTAACGGCATGACTTTGTTTTAAATATTGTATATAGCACTCCACCGTGCGTATTATGATAATTCAGCTTATTAAAATGAACCTTTAATGTTTTAGGAGTAAATTCTGGTATGTAACATTTTTAAATGATTATATTTTTTTATAACAGTATTCTATAATAATACACGCCAACTTGCGGATTTAATATTATTGAAATTTAATTATTAAATTTTTATTAAGTACAATACTTTCTTAAGTACTATACTTTAATTCCTTAAGAATTTCTTAAGTATAATACTTTCTAAAGTACAATTTCTTAAGTACAATTTCTTAAGTACAATTTCTTAAGTACAATACTTTCTCAAGTACTATACTTTAATTTCCTAAGTACTTAATTTTTTTTTTTTTTTTCGCTACTTGGTTCTTGAATCTATTTCCACTTTTTTTATTAGAATTTGGTTACAAGAAAAATATAATTTTATAAATATAAATTTTTAAAAAAAAAACAAAAACAACTAAAATTTCTTCTTTTTTCAAGGTTTTTATAACCCAACATAATAATAATAATAAAATTATAATATTGATAAAAAAAAATAATATTGATTAAAATATTGACAACAAAAATTATTCAAAATGACTTGCTTTAAAAACACAAAAAACAAAATATTTACAACAAAATTATAAATATTTTTGATATAATTATATTAAAGGTTTTAAACGATTTATTATGAGATAAAAGATAATTCAACTATTAATGTATATTTCTTTATTGAATATATATAATAATTTAATTTTTTTTAAAGTTATTTATATCATAGGAAAATGAATCTCACTACAAATAATAGATAATATATGAAAATTTTTACCTATGCGAAAAATGTTTAATTATTATTACAACTTAATTTATTTAAACCTTGTTTAGTTTTTTTGATTTTGAGTTAAAAATTCCAATAAATTTTGCTAGTTTGATTAATTAAATTGTAAAGAAATTAAAATTCTATCAAACCATTTTTATTTTGCTTAACATCTTAACTAACTCTTAGCTACCATCTTTTTCGGAAATGGGAAGTCAACAAATATTTATGACGAAAAATTTAATATCAGAGCTTTTTCAAATTTGGTAGTAGCATAAATCGACTCTCATGAAAATAAATCCCTGGTTTAAATTATCATCTTAGGGATTCGTAGTAGCAGAGTATATTAAAACAAATTTCTTTATTCCCCCCTCCCCCATTTTGATTAATTTTTAAAATCGCGATCTTAGCCAATAAACTCTAGAGATTTCGGAAAATTAGGGCCAAACCTTTTTTGCTAACTTTTCCGAAATCTTATTTGGCTAAAATATCGATTAATCGCTTTTTTAAATCCCTTAGTTACTCAAATGAGATTTCTTTGATTAGTCCAAGCAGTATATCTAAGAGTTATTTCCTATTAGACCCCTGTATCCATTAGCATCTGCCAGCGTCTACATGACAGGATTTTCACTGGATGCAAACCCCCTTCAAAAACTTTTGCCTACCCCCCTAAAAAATTCTCGCCGCCTTCGACGGCGGTGTCTGCCTATTATTATTTTTACCTTTTAAATTAATCAATCTTTACTACCAACTATAGATATTTTGTGAATACAAAGAAATTTTTAGATAATAAATTCAATTAAAACTTCCATTATTTACAATAAATTATTATGGCATTATGAGCTCGCTGAAATGTCTAACTGTAGCAAAAAGTTTTATTTGGAAAACAATGTGTAATTGTTTGCAATATATAGATTTGGTCGATGAATTGTATTACTATAATTCTATGATAAAAGTATTAATTTTATACAGCAATAAATTTTGTTCTATTTCATCTCAAAATTTAATAGATAACCCCCCAAGAAATTTATCTTACCCCCATTAAAGCAGCCGACCCCCCTCAAAAAAATAAGATACTGTTCCTACCCCTCCCACTCATGTAGAGTAGACGCTGGCACCTGCTGTAACAAATATACGATATTTTTTCTCGAATGTCTCCAAAACTTACATAGGAATGAATTGCATCTGAAAAATAAATTAAATAGATCTGACTATCTAAATATAAATAAGTAAAGATTTCAACACCAAATACCGATTATGACCATAATAATCCGTTCAATCTCAAATAGATTGCCATACATTTTTATATTTTATGCCATATTTTTCTTGATATTTTGTGATACTCAACATTAGAATTAACGCCTTATTTTTCTAATCAACAATTCCTATATAGCACACATTTATTTTAGTGAATCAGTTGAGTAAGCGCTCCACTTTTAGCTTATATTCGTAGCCCTGATGGTGCATAAATTTATATTTGACATTGATATTAGTGATTGTCCAATTTTTTTCGTCCTAATCCTAATAAATTTACAGGAATTTTAGCTGTTCAATGACTTCTAGCTTATTTTTATATGAATATTATCCCCCCCCCTTCCCTTTCAAGCAGATTCTTATCTATGAGCCTGAAATATAATCAAGATTTTACATTTCGAATAATATTTCCCCTAAAATTTCTAAACCTCGAAACAATTTCTCGTTTTCCCTATAGAATCGAATCCGAACAAACCCTGGTCTATAACTTTAACGGGTTCACAATCTTGATCGCTACGATTTTCTGACCATTCCTATACTTTAGAAGTGCAAGAAAACATTTTCACACTCATCAAATCCAACTTTTTTCATAAATTAGAGATAAAAATCTTTGAAAACTAACGAAAAAACTTACTTATTTTTATTTAGTAAAATAACTATAAATTTTATCCCTTCAATATAAAATCCTTACATTTGTCATTGATTTTGATTTCCTAACAGGCAGAACTTAGGGGATTAAAAAAATTATGATTCTCTGATCTTAAACATTTTTTTCTTTTTAATCTTAAACCTTCTCCCATAAATTTGTTGGATTTTTTCTTAAAAAAAAGTTTTACTTAACTCATATTGTTCCTGTATATTGGCAAGGTTGTGCCATATGTGATAGCTTGCTTTAATAAATGTTTCAAAAAAGTCAATAAATAAATCGTTTATATTTGTTTACAAATATGATATATATATTTTTTTTTCAAATATATTATTGGATCTTATCGTAAATTTTAACAAGATTAATTAATTACAATGTTTGTGTCAAAAAAAAAAAATTTTTTTTGTCATTTACAAAATAATGCATTTAGTAAAAAATATATTTATTTTTTTTAAAAAAAAGCTACTACGATATTTATAATGACGAAGGATTAATCATCCTTTTTTTGGCGGGGTTTCTTTCCAGTTATTAGAACGGATTATCGAAAGATTTGATCATCTTTTTTTGCGGGGTTTTTTGCCAGTTTTGTAAACGATAAGTTTGTTACACGATTCGACGATCTGGGATAGGGTCTTTGGCGAGAAGGGTTTAAATAACTGCCCAAAACTTTTTTCCTTTCGCAGCGCTTGGCCAATATCGATGAAAGAATCTTGGGTAAATGTTTGGGAGATCGTAGGAGAGGAATTCTGAGCATATTAAATGATAAAATACGGTAAATTAAGTAATTTTTTAATTAAAATTAACCAAATAACCCCATACCACCACACCCCACCCCTCCGCAAAATAAATAATAAAGGATATAAAAATAAATACGCCTTCCGATATTTGTAAAAATAAATATAAGGGGCTGCTTTTCTCTTATTTTTTTTCGTACAAAATTATAAAATTAGCCCAAACCGGAAACCGCCATTTTTTTATATACATTTTTTTAAGAAAAAAAACATTTTACAGGTTGGGTCGAAAAAAATTTTTAAGATTTTTTTGTGCATAAAAACAATAAAAGAGGCTTACTTAAAATATTTTTTTTTACAAAAAAATAAGATTTGAAATCACAGGGTAAAATTTGATCAAAAACTTGGTTTAGAAATTCTTGAAAAAAAACTTCATCTAAAAAAAATAGCCAGAGATCAAAATCTTTGAAGATTTTTTATATTTTTGAAGAGCATTTCGAAACTCTGAAAAATTTATATAAATTTTTTAAGATTCGATGACTAGGAAAAAAATGGCCCAATTTATAATATATATCAGAGGCCTGCAGGCCCGGCCCTAAACCCGGCCCGGCCTTAAGCCCGGTTCTTAAATTTTTAAATATACCCGGGTCGGGCCTAAAAAAAATTTTTTTAAACATATCCGGGCCGGGCCTTAATATTTTTTATAAAAATTTTTACATTATGAGTTAATAGTTATAAGATTATATTATATTATAGTTATGATTAATATAATATTGGGTGATGGTTAACACTACACCCACAGATCGATCTGATTATTAATTTCCTGCAAATTTATTCAAAGTATTAATATATTTTTTTATAATTCATATCTAAATTTTTACAACATATTTTACCAAAACAATCAAATAAAGGAATATCTTAAATAAGCCCCAATATTCAAGTATTATTAATATATTTTTTGTAATTCATATCTAAATTTTTAGAATATATTTTACCAAAACAATCAAATAAAGGAATATCACTTCTTAAAGTTTGTAATACCATTCAAAGCGAAAAGGAGAAATAAAATTGATTTTACTTAATATAAAGCATTTTTTAATTGAAAAATTTGTTTTACACAAGTATCATTTTATTTCTTCTTTTCTCTGTCCCAAATTCAAGCAATTACGCATGTAGTCAGGGACAGATCGCAAAATGACGGAAAACTATATAAAAGATTATATTAAATTACAAGATGCTCAGGAAGTAAATGAAATACCATCGACCAGTCAAATTACGACTGTTGTTAAACAAACTGAATCGTTTTATGACAAATGGGGCGATGGTAATTCTGGTAATATGTCAATACCCGATGATGAATATTATAATTACATAAATAATAGATAAAACATTTAAGGTGGATAATTTGTTAGAGTGGTGGGCGGCTCATCAAAGCGAATTTCCAATTTTAGCAAAATTGGAAATTCCTGCTTTAAGTGCAAGCTATGAGCGGAATTTTTCCACTACTGGGAGAATTCTCGAAGAAAGAAGAAGTAATCTTCAACCTGAAAAGGTAGATATGCTTCTCTTTCTTCATGATAATTTGTGAATTTTTAATATCTTTCTTGAGTATAGGGTTTCGTCATTCATGCTGGTTTTTTACTTTGCAAACTGTCAAATATTTATTGCATTTATTATATTTACCTTGAGTCATGAAAGTTTTTAATCCAACATTTTTCATTATTTTTTTTTACAATATTATATAATACAATTATCTTCTTTTGTTAAAAATTTATATTATAAAATAAATTATATTAATATTGTGCAATTAGATTATATTTTCAAAATACTATTTATTATACATGCATTTTTTTAAATAGCGATTTATTTTTATTTTATAAATTAAATAGTAAATTAAATACAATATATTATATTCTCAAAATATTTTCCATTTTTATAAATTAAATATTAGTTTTATTTTTTTTAAATGTAATATAAAATATAGTATATGACAAATATTATTACCATTTTTATAAATATTAGTTTTATTTTTATAAATGCAATATAAAATATAGTTATATGCTCAAAATATCCATTTTTATAAATAACAGTTTTATAATTTTTATAAATTCAAATATAATATTCTCAAAATATTAGCTTTTTACATGTATTTTTTAAATAATAAGCGATAATACTCGCTGAAAAATATGGTAAAATACCTCATAGGTGAATTTTTGTATATATCAGGTCGAATATAATTTTAAAAAATTCCAAACCGGGCCTGAAATTTTTTTTTAAATATCCGGGCCGGGCCTTAAATTTTTAAATCCGGGCCGGGCCGTAAAAATTTTTTTTAAAAAATATCCGGGCCGGGCCTTAAATTTTTAAAACCGGGCCGGCCGTGTAAATGGTACCTCTGCAGGCCTCTGATATATATTATGTTTAAAGATTTAATAAAGATTTATCTTCCAAAATATTCTAAGAAATAGAGTTTTAAAAAATTTGAGAAGTACTACTGTATAAGCAATCTCCTTCGTGATATTTTCCTTAGGTTTCATTTTAAATTTGTTGTCAAATCCATATGCATACATCTGAAATGGCTAACCCATTTAATTTATTTTCTGAAGTATCACTTACTATATAAATTTTTATTCTTCTTAAAGGAGGAAATATTTGTTTTTAATTTTACAATCAGGACTGAATCCACCTTCTAGAAAAAAGATTCAAATATCTCTGAATCAAGTTAGGGTTCAGGGTTCTAGGTTTCTGGAGAATAATAAAAATAGAGATAGCTACAAAAGGCATCATGGTGGTTTTGGATATGGAGAAAGAAATGATGAAGGAGAGCATATACTGAAATTTGTGCAAGCCTTCGACCTTGCCTTAACCAACACCTACTATAGGAAAAAGGATAGTCATTTAATAACATACGAAAGTGGTACAAGGAAAACACAGATGATTACATACTAATCTCTCGCAGAAGATTAAAAGATGTAATAGACTGCAAAGTCATCCCAGGAGAAGATATCGCAGCACAACACAAGCTACTAGTCATGGATTTACACATCTCAAATAAATCCACTCAAAACAAGATAAAACTGGAACCATGCATCAAATGGGGCAAATTAAAAACAATGACAGATGCCTTTGCAATCAATGCAAACATTGAAACAATAGATTTCTCACAAGTCAGTGAAAAAATGTGGACAGACCTTTCATCCAGATTAATACACTGCCAAATCGACACTAGGCTTGACAAGAGGAGGCAACAAATCATATAAAGAACTATGGTGGTGGAATGAAGAGGTACAAACCACTATACAGGAGAAAAAAGCCCTTTATAAAATATAGTACAAATCCAAAAACGCAGATGACAAGACAAGATACAAAAAATCCAAGAGATTAGCTACAAAAGCGGTGGCTAGAGCCAAATCTATGGCATACAATGACATGTACGAAGATCTACATACCAAAGAAGGGCAAAATAAAATATACAGATTAGGCAAACAGCGAGAAAAGAACTCTAGGGATATAAACGGAGCTCCGAAAGTAATCAAAAATAAAGATGGGAAATTGATAATAAAGGAAAAAGAAATAATGAATAGATGGAAAGAATATTTTCAGGAGCTTCTCAACTTTAATCCCCACATACATCTAGACGAACACTCCCCATGTCAAAACCTTGTACAACCTATAACAGAACAAGAAATAATCACATGCCTCAAGCATATGAAAAACAACAAAGCTAGGGGTCCAGACGATATTCCAATAGAAAGCCTTAAAGCACTAGGAGATGATGGAATACATCTCCTCACAAATCTATACAATAAGATACTTGGAAATGAAGAGGTTCCCCAAAAATGGAGGCAGAGCTATCTAGTTCCTATCTTCAAAAATAAAGGGGATCCACATAATTGTCAAAATTACAGGGGCATAAAACTAATGTCACACTGTCTAAAACTATACGAAAAAATAATAGAAAAAAGATTAAGAGATATAATCGAAATAGGAGAGACTCAGTTTGGCTTTATGCCTGGAAGATCAACAACCGATGCTATCCACGCAATTAGGTAAATGAGTGAAAAATACAGGGAAAAGAACAAAAAGCTACACATGGTCTTTCTCGATCTAGAAAAGGCCTTCGATAGAATCCCAAGAAAACTTATCTGGTGGGCGCTACGCCACAAAAAGTTCCCGAAAAATATATAAGAATAATACAGGATATGTATATGGGCCATACAACAATGGTCCGTAGCACAACAGGTACTTCACAATAGCCGAAGGAGTTCATCAAAGGTTGGCTCTCAGCCCACTTCTCTTCATTACAGTAATAGATGTATTAGCAAAATCTATACCTCAACAGTCCTGTGGAATATGATATTTGCAGATGATATTGTGATACTTGCCGAATCTAAGGATGAAATGAAAGAAAGACTAGTGAGTTGGATAAATATCCTAGAAACGCACGGATTAAAAGTAAATAGAGAAAAGACGGAGTATATGGTGATAGGAGGAGATGAAACAGAGAGTATTGATATAAATGAATGGCAGATATTGGCAATTGAAAGCTGCAAACAAACGGCACAATAGAAAAAGAGATAAAGAGTAAGATTAATATCTGGAGTGCTATTTGATAAAAGAATCCCACAGAAATTAAATGGAAAAATTTACAGTTCCATAATACAACCAACTATTCTATATAGTTTCGGAAACATGGCCAACCAAAGAATCAGATGAGAGAAGTCTACAAACCATGGAGATGAGAATGCTGAGGATGATTGCTGGGGTAACAAGAAAGGATAAAGTGTGCAGTACAAGAATACTAAGTAGTTTAAAGGTAGTGCCCATTAAGACTAAGTTAATGGTAAATAGACTTAGGTGGTATGGGCACACAATGAGAAAGCCTATGAACTAAATAGGAAATAAAGTTAAGAGTGAAGTGATGGGCAAACGTAAAAGAGGCCAAAACTTCAATGGGGCCATAAAGTTAGAGCCAATATAAAGAAGTATAAATTAGATAAAAGAGATTGTATTAATAACATAAAGTGGAGAGAGATGTTGAAGGAGCTTACCACCAGAAAAGGTGAAAGCTAAAGAGAAAAAAAAAATTATTAAAAAAAATACCAGTCAACAGTTTTTTTATAAACTTTATTTTTACTATAATTAGACCTTTCCATAAAAATTGTTGAGATGGTCAACATTTTAATTTATTAAATTGAGATAAATTAACATTTTTTTTATATTGATTGATACTATGTAAGCTATTGTTATTATCTTCATATTTATTTTTATTTGGTGGCTAATGATCACTGTCTCCTCGACAGGTTGTAAAAACCATCTAAAGGGGTTGATGTCAGGAAGGGCATACAATTGTAAAAACCTTGCTACAAAATTTCCTAATGATTAAATCAGTGGGAAAACTGGCCAACCTGAGTATACCTGAAAATCGCTATAAAACAGAGCATGTAAGCCATTGTTATTATCTTAAATACTTATTATTTTTTATTGGTTATTATATATTTAATAGTTAATTTGACTTTATATACCCTAAGGTATACTTTTGTATTAATATATATATATATGGATAAGTGATGACAAGAAGGGAAGGATTTTTATGTTCTGATGTTAATTTTTTTGTTCAATTTAAAATAAAAAAGATTACATTATTTATTCTTGCATTGATTTGATTTTGAGGTAAGAGTAATTTTGTATGAAGCAAGAAGGCTCCTAACAAAAAAATAATGTATCATTATAATTAGAATATAAGCGACTCGTGATGTCTTACAAAATCGAGATGTTAAATTAAATATCAATGTTTAATTTTGACAGTGGATTGCAATTTGCAATTAATATAGGATATTTTACCTTATGAATATGTTTTTTTCTTTGGTTTCACTTTAATAATCCAACAAATAAAAATAAATATTAGTAAAATATATATTTATTATCTATTATTAAAGAAAAGTTACAAAATTTTTACATAAAATGCTGTGCTTGCTCTAAAATATAATAAAAAGGATTACACACAAATTAATTTTCATCCAAAAAAAAAATTTTACATTGAAAATAAAAAATAAATTATGTAATGTTTTAAATAATTTTACATGTTTTTTTATATTAAATATTTTTTAAAATTAAAAAAATGGTTCAGGTTTTGGATTAGTAAAATATTGAGGGTTCTAATTAACAGCCCTGTTTGAAAAACAAAATATATTAAGAAATATATCTAAGATTTGTAAGTCAGCTTGATGGAATTAAGAACTTTTCATTTATTTGACAGAAATTTATCTAAAGGGGTGGTTTAAAATCTCGATTTTGCAAGATTTATTTATTTGTCAATATATTCTAATGGAAAGAAATATTGGTTCTCTTATCGAGGAGAGTCTACTATGGGGTCTTCTACTGAAATAAAGCCATTACACCATTGCATTAATGGCACTGCCCATTTTGATTAATTTACTTTCCCAAAATATTAAATTTCACCAAATAAATCATAGAACTAACATTACCTTTTTATTTCTATTACGAACACTTCTTTTGACAGTAGATTGCAAATTATGTACAGCAGGAGAATCTTCTTCTGAATTTTTATTTGCCCTATAATAACATTAATTATTGGGAATATTATTTTTTTTAAAAAACTCATTGGCTATCCATGTGTAGGCTGCTTCGCATGTCCCACCCAATTCTAGGAATTTTAAAATAGGAATATCTTTTATCTAATGGACTACATGTGATTTATTTATATTTATATTAATATTACCAAGTGATGAAGTGTCTGAAATTTTTCTAACTCATCCAATCTTGATTTGATTTCTCTGTCTTTTATATCCTTTAACTCCATCCATTTGCTTTGTACTAAACTTAAAAATATATTATTTTATTGTTAATCATTACATTCTGCTTCAAGCTCTTTAAGTGTTGGGAAGTTATTTTCATCACAGAATAGATTTTTATATGATGGTTTGATATTTTTTCTCTGTCCAATGGAATCATTGTTATCATTTAAGGTATCTGATGAATCAGTTTCTTCTGCTATAGTAAACTCAGTCAATTGAGTGCCATCATTTTTTAGTGCACTTTTATTCTTTTGAACCCTTTTCCTCTTCTTTTGTGCAGCTATCATAATTCTTTGAGAATTAGTCTTAATTCTCTTATAATTAGGTGCCCTGTTATTTTAAATGGAACTATTACTTTGTTTATATCAAAATTGAAATATAAATACGGGTTTATGATAAATTATACTTATGATATAAGTTGGAATTTTAAGCGTTATCTTTAAAATGTGGATATTCTGAGGGGTATAGTATGAAGATTTTAAAAAAGATAATACTGCTTCGATATAACTCAAATTTTCGAGCCTTTTTATTGGGTAAGGATATTGCACGGCTGTCGGTTATCATATAGCAACCTTGTTGTAATTATATAAATTATTATTTTGGTCACTTCAATGATATATATATATATCGTTGGGTCACTTTTTTTATCGGGGGGTTATATTATTTTTATATTTTAATTAATTTAATACTGACATGGGTTACGCTGAATATATAGTAAACACGTTATCATCGGCGTTGCATTGTTTAACGCTTAGGAAATGAAAGCTGATTCTACTTAGCGATAATATTTGAAAAAACATTTCTCCTCCTTTAAAACATATATTTATTAAAAATAATCGGCTGTTTCTTAAAAAAATTTCAATAAAAACTTATAATGTAATTTCGCTATTATTTTATTAATCGTGTCGCAAATTTTCCTTGTATTTTTTTCAAATTTTATCATGGCGTTATCATTGTAACGTGCAATATTTATAAATTTTACCTATTTGTTGGCCTAATTTTATAAATAAATCTGCGTTAAATAACACAAAGCTTGATCATAACGCGTTTACTACAAATTCACCTTTAGTTATAAAATAAATAATAATATACACTTGGAAAATGCAGTAAGTATTATTATATATCTGGAAAATATTTGGGAGATCAAAGGATCGACGATCCTGGATTAGATTCTAAGTATGGCTATTTACGCTGTTTATGATTTTCTATTAAATTGAGAATCGTTATGTTTGTTTAATGTTCGACCCTTCGCTCCAAATTAATTTTTTTAGTATATAATTAAAATTAATTTTTGTAAAATAAAATACAAGAAGATTTAAATACATTAGATTTCTATATCATATATTAATTAAAATTCTTAAAATAAATTTATAAATACTATAAATTATAAATTAGAACAACCGTAAAATGTAAACAAAATTATTTACCAGGATTGTAAAATTTTTTTTTTTGATAAATATAGCACAACAATTAAAGTGTTGGTTTGTTATGAATATTTTGCACCTATTCAAATATTAAATGTCTTTGTCTCATATGCTTGGATATCATATTAAAATATCTATCCTTTACACATAATTATATTAAAATGTAATATGAGAGTGTTGTTAAGTTATCTAATGATTCTAGATTCATAAAATAGTCTTAATTATAGACTCCTATTGTTGATAGAGTCATCGCGTCATTGTGTATCTACTGGTAATTTTTAGCCACACCGACCTGCTGCCAAAAACATGTCACCGCTCAACTCGCCACCGACTATGTAAAAATTCGGCAGCGTGGCAGCGTGATACATAATTTTATTATTAAAATAATATTTGTATATTATTATATGAATTTTAATTAGAAGAAAAATAATATAAAATATAATTTAAATAATTTAAAAAATCCTATTTAATTTTTTATTATTTATGTTTTGAGTACATTCATGATATGATCAATTTGATTATAAAAATGAGAAGAATTAATATAATTAGGTAAGCATTTTTATATATTTTTTATTATGCAAATATATCTTAAAAAACTTATTATATGTGAAAAGTTCGGAGGAGAAATATTACAGACTATGTAAATTATAATTTTTATAAGAAAAAAATTTTTTTTTTGGAGATTTCCATGATTTTTATAATTTTTGTTTTAACTTCTAATTTTTCCCTTTTTTTTATTTTTGGAAAAAATTTTTTAATTTTTAATTTTTATTTTGTTTATACCTTTTATTTTACGGATTGTAATTATGATTATTAGATTAAAGGGATTATATTATTAAATAGAACTTTTATATTTATTAGTGTTGTTAAACGGCTCGATTTGAGTCGATTTTTAAAAACGACTAACTCAATATTTTATCCAGAATAATAATTGTACAAGTCTGAAGAGTTTGCTCTCATAGATGACACAAAGGTCTAGAAACTTATTAGCAAAATCTCGAGGCTTAGGCAATATTTTTCAGGCTAAAATATTGAATTAGCTCAGTGGCGTCGCTAGGGGGGGGCACAGGCGCTCGAGCCCCCTGAAAAATTAGAATAGCCCCCTGAAGCAAAAAAAAAATTTTTTATGACTCCTTAATATCCCCTTGAATTAAAAATAAATTTTTTTGATTGCCCACTGAATGATTTCTTTTATAATTCTATTGAGTAATATATAGATTTAATTTTATAATTTAAAAATTAATAAGTCTATCTAAATTATTCTTAAATGAATACTATTTTATCTATTAGATTAGATTAATATATAAAATATATTTTCACTATGTCAGCTTGCAATCAAATTCTGTGTTAAAAATAAAATATTAATATCACTCACTAAATATTAATTTAGCATTAACAGTTGAAGTTTTATTGACTTTTTTTATTTAGATTATTATATAACCCTAATTAAATAAATATTAATTGAAAATTAACAAATTTAATATTGATAGCCGAGTTCAAAATCACTAATCAACTATATTATTGTTATTTAAATTTGATAACCATGCCTCTTCTTAAAATTATTTTCAAGGTCCAAATCCATAAGTATAAGAGATTTATTTATAAAAAGTAAGTAAACATATAGTTTATAATCCTCTATTAGATATAATTGGTAGGTTAAATACCACTTTTGCAGACGTATTTGACAGTTATATAATATATTACAGTTAATATTTTAATAAATTTTACTAATAATAAATGCTTTTGATAATAAATATAAGTAATAAATTGCTTTCAAGTATTTAACGCCATCTATTTATTTATAAATATTTTTAAAAATTTATTTTATTATTTATCCTAGGATGGATGTAATAAATTAGAGAACTTTTCTTCTCTTTTTTATGTGTTTTTAGGAAAGCTATTTCTTTCTTATTTGAAAAACAGTTTTGAGTTAAATTTACTAGTATAATTTTGATATTATTACAAACTACTACTATTTTAAGATATAATATACCAACTAGAGGTGGTGCGACAATAATATATAAAATCTTAATTATTTTCTTTTATCATATCATATCACTCTGGTTCTTATTTTATAGTTACAAAATGTTTCATTTCTAATATGGCATCCCTGCCTTGTAAATAACCTAAGGCTTCAATACATTTGCATAATTCCTTCTAAAGATTTTTAGTGTTTTTGTTTTTTCAATTTATCTTGTATAATAAATTCTGATATAAGTTAATATAGTGAGTGTCATGGCTATGACTGCAAATTAACCAGCATCTATTATTTGTGTGGCTATGTAATTTAAGATTATTATAGCTGCTGAGAGCATATGATTGCATATTTTATAAGTAATAATGGTCAACTGTGTAATAGTTTATATATCATTAAAAATGGAAGATAATCTTTTAGAAATCACAATTTTTTTCTCAATTACCTAGCTTCCATCATGTCATTTAAGAGGAAGCTCTAACCACCATATAGTTTTATGATTTGGATTTGTCGTTTATATTCTCTTCTCCAAGAATTGTTGATTTGGTTAGGCCTAGTCGATTCTATTAAACATTGTCTAAAATTGGTAACAGAGTATTATATTAGTTTCTTGACCTTTTCTTTGGTCAATTTAAGTTACTAATATTTTTAAAATATACATTCACTTTTATATTTATTTTTTATTTTTATATTTTGTTTACATGTTTAAGATAAATGAATAATAATTATAAATTTAAGAAAATATAAGTTTGGTAGGGTTTAATTTTATAATATGTAGTTTTTAAAATCCATTATCAATTGAGGCATATGTATAAATTATTTAACCTTTTTAATCACTTGTAATTCTTTAGAAGCAAAATTTTTTTATATCAGCAATCGGAAATATTTTATACTGTAATAAAAACATTTTGTACTAAAAAATATTATTTTTAGAAATGTCTTATATTGTTTTAATTATTTATAAGCTAGTTTATATTGTATGCATAATATAATAAATGATAAAATATGAAATTCAGAATAATTATTCAGAGTTAGTAAATTTTTAAGTATAATATATTAATATAAAACCCGGCAATGAGGGGTATGGGGGGCGAAGCTTCCCACAAATTTTTTTTAGTTGAGCCCCATGAGATTGTAAAGGCTAGCGACGCCCCTGAATTAGCCTTTTTAAAAATCGGTTAAAAACGAGCCGTTTAACAACACTAAATATATATATACAAATTTCTTCTTTACAAAGGTTACTCATATATGCTTTAAACATATGGCTGAAGAGTGAAAAAAGAGAAATTTAATTAATATTTAAAAGACGTATTTTGAAGAAAAAAGAAATTGTTTTAAGAAACTCAATTTGTTAAGCAATTTGGATAATAAAATTATATAGATTTAAAAATTATTAAGGCAGCATTCATAGCAGATAAGGATATAAAGGTTTGTGTTATAGTTATTTAAAAATGATTTATGAATTTTATAGTTAAAGAGAAGCTAATGGTAAACTTAGAAACCAGTTGCTAACTGAGACGATAATATATTTTAGTAGAATTAATATAAGTTATAAGATAATTAATTAATAGATATAAATGTGACAAATAAAAAGGAACATAAATTATGGAAAATCATTCATTAAGATGTTCAAAAAGATACTATAATTGAAAGTAGTCGGAGAATAAGATAGAGTCTAAGAGTAAGACGAATATACAATTATTATTAAAAAAATGTTGATGTTGTAATTAAATCAATTAAAAATGATTATTTAAATTATTTTGTGCTAATCTTCAATTCAAAAATTATCGCTGGCACATATCCTATAAAATTAGCGATGTTAACATATAAATGGGACTTAAAATGTTTATCATTTAACCGATATTTGGCAATGATTTGTATTTAAAAAAATATTTCAACATTATACCCTTGTTGATTTCAATAAAATGTCGTTTTCTTGCATTTGAAAGTAGCAAGATGCAATTAAGCGGGTTTGACTGTATTATTCTGATCCTATTTCTCTATCCCATATATATTAGATTGACTACGTTTTTTTAAGTCATGAGATGCGACATCTTATAATAGTATATATAAATTTGTAGGAATTTTATGGATCGAGTTAGACAAGATGTGAATATATTTATTTAAGTGGTAATAATTATTACAATTTATCTATGAGATTTGAAATCAACAAAAAAATCTATTTTTATTAAATAAGCAGCTCTTCTTCTTTAGTAAAATCCCATGTGATTCCTAGAATATACGATAATTGTTTTTTATGTCATGTTTAATCATCAATTTTTCTTTTAATAAGGGGTTCATCGTCTTTAGTAACCTACCCTACATCGTCTTAAGTACCATACCATGCGAGCGCAGGAATTATGCGGGCTACTTCTACACTAGCTTGTAGTAAGCTGGTGACACTATCCTCCACCATGTAGGGATTATAAAGATCGAGTTAGACAATAAAGATATTTATTTAAGTGGCAATAAAATAATGATCTTAATTACAATTTATCAGTATATTTATATATATTCTTCGGTAAAAGATAATTGTATATAAAAAACATTTGAATATAAAAAACATTTGAATATAAAATACATTTGAATATAAAAAAACATTTGAATATAAAAAAACATTTGAATATTATTTCAACGAGAAAATAAATTAACTTTTACAATTTTTAAACAGATAATATAATAAATAAAAGACCATGAAACTATAAAGTGGAATATATTTAATATTAATTTAAAATTATGATAATCATTTAAATAAATATTAAACCTTGTCTTAGAAATTATTATAATTGTTTATGATAAAACTTAAGTCGTAATTTGAAGATCCTGGAATTAAACAAATCTAAATTATTATGATACAAAAAGATTTGAAATTTTAAGCATATCTTAGAAATACCTATTTCTTTTAAAGTTTTGCTAACAGTGTATCCCTAAGATACAACATCTTTATAATTATATTAATAAATAATGAACTTTATTTGGAAATATAAATATTCCTGACAATGAAATCTCAATAATTATTAATAATACTAAATTAAACATATCTAAAGTATTATATAATATTCATTTTAAACAAAAGATATTTATCAAATATTTAAGCACTAAAAATAATAAAAGGCTTGGTTTATAAAATGTAGAATTTTGGACGTCAAAAATTCAAAAATAAATATTTATATATAATTATGGTTCCTTTTTTTGTGAACACAATTAGGAAATTGTATTTTTATTTTTATAAGATTTTAAATTTATAGTGCTTAGAATATCTCAGAAAAACTAATTCTTAAGCGTATATAAGTTCTTAGTAGTGTTGTTAAACGGCTCGATTTGGGCCGATTTTTAAAAACGGCTGACTCAGCATTATCACCAGGAAAATATTGCCTAATCTACGAGATTTCACCGATAGATGTCCAATCCTATTCTACGAGCAAAATCTATAAGCTCGCATAATATTTTTCTGGATAAAATATTGAGTTAGCCATTTTTAATAATCGGCTCAAATTGAGCCGTTTAACAACACTAGTTCTTAGCTTGGACCACACAAAATTTGGTAATATATATTAAAGCAAAAATTTTTATTAATAATAATATTATTGGGAAATAATTATGAATATTCCTGAAATTTTAATAATTATTAATATTCTTTTGTTTAAAAACTTTAACTTGATGATAATCATGAATAATCCTAAAATTAAACAAATATTTAAAAATATTCAAACATATCTTTAAAAAAAGCAAAATATATTTAAGTTTGATTATTTTGCCTGTTTTTTTTGACGATGATTTAATGTTAATATTTTCTATACTGTTTATCCAATGACAATATGTCATTGGGTTAATCTCAAAAATATTGATAGCCATATGGGATTTCTATATTTTGACAATGAAATAGTTTTTCTAAAAATCAATTTAATGCGCGACTTTTTAAATTTAAAAAAATAGATGGATGTGGATATAATTGAGACTGATGATTGTGGCAACAGTAACTTGTTGAAAAGTAAAACGTGTGATTTCGTCATATAATTAATTTTTTTTAAGGTCTTGGTATTCAAATTCCTGATTCATTAAGTAAAGTCGCGAATTATGATCCACTCGGACCCAAATTATTAATCCATCAAATAGAAAACGAGAATTTTAAATCCTATTATGGAAAGCAAATTTTAGGCCCATTTCATAAGGTTTATTTCATATTTACATTTTATACAAATAATTTAATTCAACATTTTAAATAAAGTGTAAGTATGTTTATATATTTGTTTTTTTTGTCCCAATTATTATTTATGGGAACAAAAAACTTTTACTCAAATAATAAAACTTATAAATTTGAGATTATATATATTATTTTTTTGCTATGGCTGAACTAAAATTGCAACCACCATCTATTCTACTTAGGGCAACTGTGAATTCTTACGGGATATTATATTAAACTTTATGTGTGTGAAGTATTTTACAAATTAGCTTGAATATTTTATTTTTCATAAGATAATTCCAACTATCAATAAATAATTTTTAAAAAAAATTAACCATTGATATATTTTTATATGTGTTAGCATAGAATTAGCATATGAATGAAGGGAATTTGGTTTCAAATAATATTAAATTAGTATGAAGCTACTTTCTTTTAATCCCCCAAGAAAAAAAGGACTCTAAATTAAAATATTGAGCAATGTTTTTTGGGCAGATATCTTAAATTTTATTGAAAGATATGCTATAATAAGTTAAATTTATATGTCTTTTATACCTTCCCCCAGAAGTTGATCATTTTATTGCCTAGGCTCAAAAACCTTAAAATTGAGTTTGAATGACTGTTGTATTTAAATTGTTACAATGGGCAATTAAAGATGTGAACAAATGATAAAATTTCCCAAAGAATTCAAGGATCCAAACCTCAACAAATATTGGTTTAGGTTCTGATAAAAAATTACACTTTATTATTCATGTTTGGTTCATTAAAATAGTAACATCAGTTTGGTTTTAACTTTTAAAAACTGGTTCAAACTTTCTGGCATGCAATCATATTAAAAATTTGCCACCATTCTCTAAAAAAAAATAATATTGAACCGTATACAATTTAAAAAATTTTCAAAATTCTCTTCTGTCAGATAAAAATAAAGAAATTATATCTATGGAGAAGTAAGAATAAATTTTATGACTGAGGACACTTTTATATGCTAACTTGGATAACTAGCAAGATGTATAAAATATCTAAATATAATTATATTTATAATTTTCAATCAGAACTCATTACTAATCATCATCTTTAAAAGAGTTAAAACATCAAAAGGTTCAAATTAAGATTCAAAAATCTTTTTAAAGATCTGGGTGACATATTATTTGATGGTTCATCATGTTAGGTAAATCATACTGGTTCCAGTTTCAATTCCTGATTTATTGATATGATTATTATCAAAAAATCAGATCTGGGGCCAGACCTCTGGATCTGATATTTAGTATCCTAACCCAAATATAAATTATTTTTTAAAAAAAATTTTTGCCAAAGAATTATACAGCAATTATTGGACCTAATGGAAGTGGGAAGTCAAATGTTATAGATTCGATGCTATTTGTATTTGGTTTCAGGGCAGCCAAAATACGTTCTAAAAAGGTAAGCGTTCTTATCCACAACAGTTCGAAGCACAGCAACATAAACAGTTGTACTGTCAAGGTCTTCTTCAGGAAAATTGTGGAGATTAGTATGAAATACGACCATAAACAAGTTAATAAATTAGAATTTGTAAATAGTGTAATATAAATATTTAGTAATCAATGGTATTTATCTTGTATAATGTGGCATTTTATAATTTGTATTGTAGACTAATCACATAATGACTAGCATTCCACATGTAGATTATGCTAATGAACATTTTTAATAGGATATTTTCAGGATAAATCAACATGGGGATTAAGAGCTTGTCAATGTCACTGTATAATGGTTCTTTCTTAGCAAGCAAGGGTTGACAAAAAACAAAAATAAAGATTTTTTTTTGTTTTAAATCAAAATTTTTCTTTAAATTAGAAAATTATGTTATAATATATGCTCTGGAGAAAAATTTATTAATTGGACATACTTTTTTTCTATGACATTTATTAGTTAAATATTGTTAAACCAATATTTAATATTCGCTCATTAATACCATTTGAGTATTTGGGGGGGGGGGGGGGGTATGACACAAAACTGTCATCTAAATCGGAGGGAAGGTGTAGGTTTTGTTTTTGATTTGGTAAGAGACAGGTCTACGATTATGGAATGGGCAGCGGCATTTCATATGTTATTCCTAGCAATTCAGTTATTTTGTCCGAGCAATAGGAGAGGATTTTGGCAATTTTTTTTCCCTGAACATTTTAGTTTTAATTCTGTAACCATTAAATGGAATCCTTAAATTTAACCCTTGGAAAATAATTTTTTTTTAAAAAAAAATAATAAATTTGAGAATATTAATTTTTAAATTTATTTAATCCATTTTATATGCAAAATACTATAGTAAAGTTATATATATATATATTGAAACACTCCACATCTCGATATTTCCCAGGTAACGAAAGACAACCAGCATAACGGGGAACGAATTTTGGCCACACCCGAAGAACCAGACAAAGATGAAGAAGGGGATCATGATCCCTTTAATACAAGCACCACTGCTTCCTCGCAATTGAAAAAGAGTACTCCGACCTACCAGGAATCAATAGACACTGGTTTCAGCGTGGTGCCAGGATCGGAATTCGTCATTTCGAGAACTGCTTTCAAGGACAATTCCTCTTACTACTGCATCGACGGCAAAAAGACGAATTTCAAGGAAATGTCCGATTTCCTCAAATCCCACGGAATCGACTTGGACCATAACCGTTTCCTAATTTTACAAGTTTTATATTAAAAATTTTTTTTACCATTTACTGTCACTCTGAACTTGGGGTGATAGGCAGGTGTCAAATTCTTGCCCGTATTAAATTCTGGTTATGGGGTAGTTGTTGCTGTTGAGGTATATATTGGTAAACCTCAGCATGATTTTAGATATAAATTAAATCAATGACGTAATAATACCTAAGACTGACGCCGCCAATCATAATAATGCACTCGAAAGCGTCGCTGAATGCAAATCAGCTGGACCCGCCATTTTGGTAACCCATATAATAATAAATTGATAACTTGCTTCCTTATTATCTCGATGATCACGCAATTCTTTAATAAAAATTGGCGCCAGACATAGAAATATATTGGCCTTTCTTTTAAAATTTTAATGATACGGGTAACCAAAATGGCGTCCCCAGCTGTTTTTCAATTGATTGCGCAAATGATGGCATCGTCAGTCTGAGGTATTCTGTCATTGATTATAATAGACATTTATTATTTTTATGTTGAACATGTCAGATTAATAAAAAGTTACTGTCGGTTATCATTAATTAGGAAACTATTCTATCTTACATTAATATCAAATAGATAAATATTTTGATAATATGTATATCGATTTCTTATGAATAGATTCGATTTTTTTTTGCATTAATATAAGTAAAATTGTTTGCAAAATAAAGGGAGAACAACATTTCAATCTTAAGAAATTCTTATAAATACAATTTTAAAATAAACCTTGATAATTAATTACACTATCAAAGGGCAGTGTTGAAAAGGAATCAATATTTTATTTATTTTTTTGTTTAAATTCGCCATTTTTCGGGAAAGTGTTTGTGGCCCTAGAAGGGTAAGTGCCACTAAAATCTATAGTTCTGGGTAAGAATCTAGAGAGGATCGTTTTTTTTCTTCTGAAGATAATTAAGTAGTTTTGTGCCACTTGGGATGATATATAGAATATCGGATACATCCCTTTGATTCCATCTCTTAATACATTAATATATTTAAAAAAAAATATATTATTGTATTTTAGCAAATTAGGTTGTTGTTTAGAAAAGTGGCTGTATCTTTATTCGGTGCTACCTAACCATTAAACCATAAATTACTGGCTACCTGACACTCTACGATAATGAGCGATGGTTGATAAATATCCTTTCGACATGATAAGAGTTTTTATCGTATCATTTTAAGGATACGTTATTTTTTTTATCCAAAATAAAATCTGAAAATTGTATCGGAACGAATCTCTCATAAATATTACTCCTAATTTGAATCTTTAAAATCCCAAATTCCATTTTGAAAATCCGAGAACTTTGGAGACATCGTTAAAATTCACGAGAGAAGTTCATTTCCGGAGTTCTGGTTAAGATTCATAGATTTACAATCCAAAATCCCAATGATTCTCTTCTCTTCCCTTGTTTTTACAGATTCTAATATAAAACATGGTTCATACATAAAAAAAACCTTTTAAAAAAATATAATAAATATAATATAAAGGGCGAAGTAGAAATGATTTCGCTGATGAAACCCAAGGCTACGAACGAGAACGAGGAAGGCATGCTAGAGTTCCTGGAGGATATAATCGGCAGCAATCGTTTCAAGCCAGCTCTGTCCACGATGAAACAGGTGCTCGAGACCGAGAACGAAAAGAGGGCCAGTATGCTGAATCGGTTTAAAAGCACGGAAAAGGAGTTGAAAGCGTTGGAAGCACCTCTGGAGGGAGCTATTCAATACCTTTCCCTAGAAAACGAGATTATCAAGAACAGGAACGCCCTATTGCAAATCAATGAGTAAATTTAAAAAAAAATTAAGATAAGTAACCCGATACAAAAATATCAGTGCCGATAATTTTTTAAAACTTTTGATTTATTTTGAATCCCCCCTCCTCTTCCTCCTTTCCTTTTTATAACATTTTAAACCTCTAGGAATATACTATTTTATTTGTCTTTGAAAAAAATTTAGCCTTCTAAAGTCTCCCTAAATGATAATTTTTTGAAATATTTATATAAATTGATATCCTTAAATCATTCAAATAAATCAGGCCTATTAAATATATTCATATTTCATATATATATGTATAACTATTTAGATTATCGTATTATACATATTAAATAAAAAAAATTATTTATATCAAAATATTTTTCTTATTCATTCACTTCGTTAATCCCCATTTCCGGGAATTCCTCCTGTGCTTCTTCAGCAACCACACTGGTCTTGAGCACAATTGATCTTCTCACCTTTTGTTCATACACCTTTTTTCACCGGAATTTTTCGCATATTGAAATTTTTTTATTATTATTATTCGATTAATCTTTATCATCATGAATTTTGGGGTATCTTGAGATAATGCTTGATCAGCTGAAATTCCTTGCATTGTTCACTGGATTATGGAAAATTGATGTAACGTAACTCTGATTGTTTGATCAATCGGCTGCTTTGTGTCCATCATTCACCCCACACCCATAACACATCAAAATGAAATTGTAAATCGTGTAGACCGTTGGAATCTAGACATTGATCGCGTAGGAATTGATAACTGTCGAGAAAATATTTTCTTTTATTCCCAGACCTACCAGGAAATTTGAGATTTGAAAGCTCCATCCATGGCTAAAGCCAATGGGCTACCCGTAGGTGCTAAGTTGACTTGTAGCGTGGCATTCGATATTTTTAAATAGTAAGGTCTCCATCGGTTAATTCCCGCGAATTGCGAGGAATTTCAGCTGATCAACTAAAATCTCAAGATACCCCAAAAATTCGTGACGATAAAGAAAATGCCAGTCTATGATTAAAAAAAAGTTTCGATATACCAAAGATTCCGATGAAAAAAGGTGCAAGAGCGAAGAAAGGGGGGTATATGTTTTTGTTTGTTATTGATATTATTTTGATCATTAATATCAATTATTATTAACTTTTATGATCGTTCCTAAAATTCCAAAAAAGTCATTCTTATATGATGAAAAAAAATAAAATTATTGTTCAAACTACTACGATTTTCACTTTTATTAATCAAAAAATAATAATAATGATCATAATAATATCAATAATAAACGACAAAAAAAACATAAACCTAAGAACAGTAAAAACCAATTCAAAAAATTTTTTTTATATAAACATTCGAGTGAAAACCCGAATATTCCGTTCTTACCCGGTATCGGTTAAAGAATTGGTATCAGAGCAACCCCGGTTTGATGTTCATATATATATTTTTATTTTAAAGATACGAAGCTAATAAAGCGATGGTGCAAAAGGAGACCAAATTCAAAGAAGCGGAGCAAACGTTGAAGGATTTGAGCGAAAGTCTAGCGGGTAACGAAGACGCTAAAAAGGATATCGATGTCCAATACAAATCGAAATACAAGTTTATAGTTTCTTTTCTTTTCTTTCTTTCTTTTCTTTCTTTCTTTCTTTCTTTCTTTTCTTTCTTTCTTTCTTTCTTTCTTTCTTTCTTTCTTTCTTTCTTTCTTTCTTTCTTTCTTTCTTTCTTTCTTTCTTTCTTTCTTTCTTTCTTTCTTTCTTTCTCTCTTTCTTTCTTTCTTTCTTTCTTTCTTTCTTTCTTTCTTTCTTTCTTTCTATTTTTCTTTCTATTTTTCTTTCTTGAATTCCAATATGATAAATTCATTAAAAACTATCAAAAACTTTCATAATAAAAATAATAATAAACAAGAACGTTATTAATTTATCAAAATACATAGCACTCTCTAACGTCAATCACCATATCCCTCTCTTTTATTAACTCTATCATGACGTAGCAATAAACAATTACTTTCACTATCCTTAAATTCTTTCTTTCTACTTTTACCCTATTACACTTTTCCCTCCATCAGTTTAATTTTTTTAAAATACATGAAAATTGCTGTGCGCTTACTCGATCTCACTGAAACCTGACCATAAAGCTCCAAGAGGGGTGTGAATATTCTCCCTCATAAGAACTAAGTATATTTTAAAAACCTTTATTTCGAATCTACTAATTTTAATTAATGTGATTTTATAACATATATAGTGAGAGAGAAACTCAGTGGGGTGCGCTATTCTGTCATAACAACGAATGATTGAAAAGTCCCCCTTCTATCATTATGATATTTTTAATATTCATATACATGTTAAGGGAATTCGAAACGGCCACCAACTCCCTCGGGGAAAATAAGAAGAAACTGACCGAGCTGGAGATGGCGGATGCGAAAATACGGGAAAATTACAAGCATTTAAACGCCAAAAATCAAGGTCTCGTCAAATCCGTTGAGATCGAAAGGAATAAAGTTTTTTTTCTCTTCTCCTTAGCATTCCCTCAATCAATCCTTGTCTTATAAACGTATATTTTGTATTTCACTAACCCCCCCCCCCCACCCTTTCTATCATACCCCCGTCATGAGAAGTAATCACTAACCTTCACATTTTCAGGTAATCAAACATCAATCGACCATCGCGAACAACCGGGAATACCTCAGCAATCACGAAGCCAAGTTGGAATCGCTCAAGATTTCCAAATGCTCCCAAGAATCGGCCTTGCAAATAGCTACGGAAGCCCTGAAAGAGAACACCAAGGAACTCAGACTCAAGAAGGAGAAGAAAGAGAAGCGACTCGTGGAAGACGTAGAAAACAAATACATCCAAGCCAAGTCTTCGGTAAAAATGATTGCCCTGTCTCCCTATTTTAATCAAAAAATTAAAAATAATTTTTTTATCGAATAGCTGGACAAGGCTAAAGGAGAATTGAAAATTTACACCGAACACGTGGAAGGTAACCTGAACAAGGCTAAAAATCTGCAAAAGAAGATCGGTGAGATTGAAACTTGCAAGAGCGACATTAAAACGTAAAACTCCGTTTATAAATATAAATCCGTTTTATTGGCTGACATTTTGCCAATCAAATTCAAAGGAAAAAGAAAAATTAATCATATTCTAATCCTAAATTATTTATTATGAATACGTTAAAGAGAAACACGTGAGGGGAGATACAAATTTCACGCACACACAAAAATGGTTGATTAGGATATATTTAATTTAAAGAATTTTTTATCATTTCATTTTTGGTTTTAAACAAAAAAAATTGCAAATCCCTAACCCTCCAGAAAATTGAACGAATTGACACAAGACATTTTACCCCGGTACGAGAGCCAGGCAGATACCCTGAAAAAGAAAATCGAAGACGTTAAAAACGAGGAGAGAGGTGTTGAGCATCAAGTTTCGATTGTTTTTTTAAATTGTTTTTTTTTTTTTTGAATATTTAAAAAACGAAAAATTTTGTTTAGATCCAAACTTTTATAGCCTATACAAACACAATCATACTTAACGTTTTCTCTGACACTAGTGGTGTTATATGGCTCGTTTTGAGCCGATTTTTAAAAAATGTCTAACTTAACATTTCATCTAGAACAATATTACGCAACCCTGAAGATTTTGTTTGTAGAGGGAACAAAGGTTCTGACATCTATTAGCGAAATCTCAAGACTCATAAAAATCGGCTCAAAACGAGCCGTTTAACAACACTATCATACACGAGTAAGTAGATAATTTATCAGTAGAATGTTGAAGTAGATAGGATTGATTCGAGAAGGTAAGTTGTTTAAAAAAAAAGTGTGTATATACATATTATACCTGAAGATAAACCGTCAATTTGGTCGTGATTTTTGCAGTGAGGAGTAAAATAACATTTTTATTTAAAATAAAAATCTCTATTCGCTGTTTCACTTAGCTGAAAGAAGGTCGCGACAAAATGAAGCTTGCTCAGGACAACCTGACGGCTCTGACGAACAGTCTCACGAATGCCGATTGTGGTTCCGGCGATAGCAATGCGCAGCAAGGAAATCCGTTTCGAAATCGGGTTCTCAGGGCTTTGAAGGAATCGGAGAGTAATGGGGAACTGGATGGGATATACGGACGTTTGGTAATTTATATATATATTTTTTATATTAAGAGCAATAAAGATGTAAATGAAAATAAATAGATATCACCGCAAGGCCTTAGGACCTGTGGCAGAACGGGCCAGAAAAAAAATTATGATTTTAAAAATTTGTGGCTTTAGGCTTAAATTAAAAAAAAAATTACAGGGCTAAGAAAATTTCGAAACTTGGGCTAGGTCTAATTCCTTCGAAATATTAATTTTAAATACATCAGCGACTTCTTAATCATCGAACAACAAATAGTAATCCTGGGTTATAGATTTTGCTGCGACCAATTTCACAACCACTTGATCGCGTAAACTGCAAGCCTATATTAGTCAACATTTTTAAAGAAAATGGGATAAACTGATAAGAATTCTCCTCTGACATTTTTAGCGACTTGCAGTCAATCTACTTACGATATGTTAAAACCTGAAGGCTCGACAATTCTGTAATTTGCGCTATACCTGTGTCTAGATTTCTTGAAACTAATATTATGATTAAAACCAATCTTTAATAATAAAGGCTTGGCAACTTTTAATTTCCCTAATAGTAACGTATATTACAATTTTTAACGCATCAAGATTTAAAAAAAAAATAGCCAATTGAATAATCATATGATGGATCATCTGTTACAAGGCCATAATTTTAAAAACCCTGGCCGGATCATGGAAAGGGGGGTGAGATCAAATCCGAGCCCGGTCTGAAAATTAGACCTCTGTCAGAGATAAAAACTTAAACGTTCAGTTGTGATTGATTCCGCGGTCTTATATCTTGGGATGTATTCCCTTCATCATTTACCCAAAACCCGATGCTCGAAGCTGAGTCCTTTTATAAATAGAAATGAACTGACATTCATCCTAAAAGTATTGACAATATTTGTTTTGGCTGCATTCTTAGGCTTCCCGTTAAACGGGCTAGGGGAATCGGCAGAAGAGAAGTTCTCACGTGAGGAACCACAAATTTTTTTCCAGGGCATCTTGATTTATTTCAATGTAGCCAGGAAACGTTATTTTTTTTTTTTGTTTGCTTATATCTTACTGAGCATAAATACATTTTTAAAATTTATAATTATAATAGATTTTGCTATTTTTTTTTGTAGATAAAGTTTAATTACAAATACAAAAAAAACATTATTTTTTACCGCCAATTTTTAAAATAAAATATATTAGAGATCGCGTCGGGCGTGCACAATATACAAAAAATATTTAAGCTTGGAATTAGGCAAAATTTATTTACGATTTTCCTTGTGTATAAAAAAAAAAATTTATTCTGGGAATGGCCAACTTGTATAAAATTATTTTATAGGATATAGCTTCAAAACCCGGTATCAAAATAAAAAATGTTAATTCCTTAACACAGACGTGATATGTATTAAAGGATAGTATTTGAGATTAGAAATATAATAATATTCTTTAAACAAAATTACGTGGTTAGCGCTTATTCGCGCATCATGACATCCTATCTACAGGCGTAACTTCCCTGATTGCCAACTCTTCGTTGTTTTTTCACCCATTATTATCATTTTAAATATCCATTTTTTTTTTGTCACTCAGAGATATATTAACGACAAGGTGGGAGAAATATGGGAAATAGGAGGATAACACATTTCCTTCATTTCTATATCGTACGTGATCTTAATAATATATTTTAACATCCATCCATCCATCCATTCGCTCACTCATTTATAGGGGGACTTAGGTCGCGTAGACCCGATCTACGACGTAGCCCTCTCCTCAGCTTGCGGTTCTACCCTGGATAACATATTAGTCAGAGACGAGGATACCGCCAGGGATTGCATCAACATACTCAAGAGACTCAAATTACCGCCGACCACATTCATATGCCTCAATAAAATGCGTTACAACGCGAATACCGATAGGATCAAGGATAAGAATCAACGCCTTTTCGATAAGGTTATTTAATATAATATTGATTTTTTTTTTGATTGGCATCTTTAATTAGAGATATTATGCCGATATTGGGATTTCTGTGTGATACTGGTCTAGCGCTGGACCTTAGATATTGGGGTCCTACCAACTTCTACAAAGAAAGAAGGAAAAGAAACCATATTAATATCTTCCTCTTTTATTTCTTACATGTCAAATTAACACTAATGTGAATTATGATTAGATGATTATTTTAACACTTTGTTATGCAATATTTTATCGGATTGAATTCTAAGTGCGCGGCGATAAGGTTCAGACCTAGCTTTAGCGGTTCGGATTTGATTCAGCGTAGGTTAAATATCTGGGCCTAATTTTTTTTTTTTTTAAAAAAACCAAACATTGTAAGATAACAACCGTCAACGAAAAATTCGAGTCGGCTTTTTTCTACGCCACGCGGGAAACACTCTTAGCGCGCGATATAAACGAAGCGACCCGATTGGCGGACTCCTCCTCTCGCCGGCAAAGGGTCGTTACGATGGGGGGTGAAGTGGTAGAAATTTCTGGTAAAATCAAAAATTTATTAATAAATTTACGAAAGCTTTTTGTGAAATAGTGAAGAAAGAAATAAACCTTTAAAAAAAACAAATTTGTTTAGAGGAAGAAAATATATATTTAAAATGTTGACAAAATTAAAATATTAGGCACTTTGACTGGCGGCGGTTCCAGACCTATGAGCGGCAAAATGGCTTCAAAATTCTTGGTCGAATATAATTCCGCTAACGATAAAATCAATTATTTACACCAAAAAAATAGCAATAAAAGCATTCAGGTTAGCTTATTATTTTGACGATGGCCGATTCTATCTAATTTTCTTCCTCGATTATTTTTTTCTTCTTCTTTACTCTGAATTCACAGTTATAGCGCAAATTCAGGTTGAAGTAGGTCTATTCAAAAAAAAAGAATTAGCTCATTATTCACATTCGATTTGTTTTGAATGATCGAATTATTTACTATCCGTATTCGATTTGTTTTGAATGATCGAATTATTTACTATCCGTATTCGATTTGTTTTGAATGATCGAATTATTTACTATCCGTATTCGATTTGTTTTGAATGATCGAATTATTTACTATCCGTATTCGATTTGTTTTGAATGATCGAATTATTTACTATCCGTATTCGATTTGTTTTGAATGATCGAATTATTTACTATCCGTATTCGATTTGTTTTGAATGATCGAATTATTTACTATCCGTATTCGATTTGTTTTGAATGATCGAATTATTTACTATCCGTATTCGATTTGTTTTGAATGATCGAA